TCAGGAACCGTCCGTCCGCTGCTTGGGATGAAGATTGCGAAGCGCATTTGGCTGACTTGGAACGTTTAGAAGCCCCTTCCGACGGCATTATTCAATAACCTCGTGTTCCCCGGCCACAGGCACACACACTCATCCTGTCACCCAAACCCGGCGTTATCAACAGCCACCGTCACTCCTTCTACAGCAAGCATCCGCAACTTGATATTTCAGCACACTCTTTAATACTTTAATACTCGTCCGTTTACGACACGCGACAACTACATAGACTTGAGCCTCATTCTTTCGGCTCATTTCGACAACTAATATTACAATAACTACGATTTCCAGGAGAACTCGGAACTCACTCACCACTCATTCAGTTACCGCCGAAACACAATCTTCCATAAACAACCGCCACATCCACATCAAAATGGTTGCCTCACGTCACAACGACGAGAGCTTCTTCGTCGAGTCCGATGAACAGCCCGCGCCAAGGGTAAACGTTCGGGATGCTGCCAAGCTCATCGCTCGGAACAAGCAGGAAATGATCGCCAACAACCTTTCACGACTCGCTGCCGATGAGTACCTTGAGGACATCATGCAGCACATCCGTCATATGGAGGTAAGAAATGTGCAAGTTTGTTTCTAATTGGCTAGGTGATAATGTGCTGACATGTACATGACTTGATAGGACGAGACGTTACCCGATGCCAACCTCATCGACATGCAACGCGAGATCCAATGGTTCATGCGCCCGTACCTTATCGACTTCCTTATCGAGGCTCACGCTGCCTTTTCGCTGCTCCCCGAGACCCTCTTCCTCACCGTCAACCTTCTCGACCGGTACTGCTCCAAGCGTGTGGTTTACAAGCAGCACTATCAGCTCGTCGGTTGTGCCGCTCTACTGATTGCCGCCAAGTATGGAGACAAGAAGGACAGAGTCCCCCAGATCAACGAGCTCAACAACATGTGCTGCGGACTTTACGATGCTGGCATGTTCACGCAGATGGAAATGCACGTTCTCAACACTCTCGACTGGAACATTGGACACCCAACCGTCGACTTTTTCACCCAATTGATCGTGGCCGAGGAAAGGGATGGCAGGGACGTCGAACACATGGCGGCATACATCTGCGAGATTGCCTTGTACCACCGGGATTTCGTTTCCACCAAGCCCTCCATCATGGCACGGGTTTCATTGGTCTTGGCTAGGGCTATCTTGGGCAAGCCCGAGGTTAACGATGGGGAATGGGACCAGATTGAGAACGCCACGCTCTTGGCTCTTTCGCAGCACCTTCACCAGCCTTCCGTCACGCTTTCCAGGAAGTACTCGAGCGCATACCTCTCCAAAGTGTCTGGCAAGCTTGCCGACTTCCTCGCTCAGCAGGCTGCCATCAACCGTCGTGCCGGCGCCCAGCCATCCTCTCCTGGCGAGCTGACCCCCAACTCCAGCAAGGCCTCAAACGTCTACAGCACTCCCCACAAGGGCCTGGGATCCGTCCCCGGCGCTGCAGATGGATACATGACCCCTCCGATCACTCCCGACGGCGCCAGCTTCGGCCAGACTGGCAGCACAATGATGAAGGAATATCCTGTCCCGCGTTGTCCAGTGACCCCGACACCGCAGCCGAACTCGCACAGCCAATCATACCCACCAGCAGCACAACATCAGACTTCAGCATCATCAACGACATCAACATCAACAACGGGAGCACCCTCATACTTTGAGACCGCGCCATCGTCTCTAAAAGTCGCTTACTGAGTTGGTGAAGGTTCATCTATTCAGTCTTTAACAAAAAAGGGTCCTCGCTCTCATCACATAAGTGAGAGGGAGTGAGAAAATCCCTGTGTATTCTATGTTGTGTGTAAGGTTTGGTTTTGGTTTGGCAGTTGCAGCAGCGAAGAAAGCATAGTTCGTTCAGGTTTTTTCTTTTTCTTATTCTAATTTCTCTCTCATCATTCGAGGTCTCTTCTGTCCTCCTGCTAGGCCTGCTTGGACGGGGTTAAAGAACACGCACACACCAAATATACCATCCATAGTTTTTTGACAGAGAAGAAGAAGAAGAAGAAGGCCTTATTTTGATTACAACATTTAAATCTCTCTCTCTCTCTCTTCTTTTCTGGAAGACAAAAAAGATTGGGAAGACAAAAAAGATTGCACACATTCAGTCGTCATCGTCGTCGTCGTCGTCTTCGTCGGCATTTATCACATCACACATCACACATCACATCACAACATCACTTTGTTTCGCGCGCGCAGTGGACACAGGCACGCACATTTTAGCGGCATGGCATATTAGCGTTTGATTTTTTTTTTTCTGTTTACAACAAAACAATACTTGACTACCAATCTTTCGGTAGTCTTTTCAAAAAGTTTCCAAAATCATATTATTTCTTCCCGACCGCGCGTTTTGATCTCGTTCTTTTGGCCGATTGAAAACCGTCGTCATAGTCTCCGTCATAGGCTCAAACTCACCACGGACGGAACGACAACGGGCTTGCCTCTCTTGACCTCATCGACTGTAATACTCACCCAACCAACCAAACTCAGCAAAGAAGAAGATCGACCACACTTCATGAGAACAATATCGAGATTGGCAAGCAAGCAACGCCAAGTCAAGAGGTTCTTTCTTTTCTCTTTCTATTGGAGATTCCCCCCCACAATGGCGAGGCTGGCACCACACCACTTGCGGGCTATCGAGGCGGACTGGAACCTGGACAACACACATACACACAGACATTCGGATGGATGGATGGATGGATGGATGGATGGATGGATCAAACGAATAGACGCAACGGAGCTTTGTTTGAGGAGTGGCGACAACCACCAAATTACGATCTGGATCACCGGACTGACCAGAGGGACACAAGGGAACGGGGGAGAAAAAGAAGCAAGAAGGAGATCAGATCAGTCAACAGAGACGGAACATCAGCGGGAAAGGAAAAATTGAGATTGGGAAGCACCACCAAAAAGATCGACATTTTAGGAGGAAGGAGCAAGAGGAGGAGAAGGAGCAAGAGGAGGAGAAGGAGCAAGAGGAGGAGAAGGAGAAGGAGCATCACCCCGAAGTTTTTGCGTTTTTATTCAAGGGAAAGAAGGATGTGCGGTGCCATGCCTGATTTTGATATGTTTTGCGTTGGAAAGGGGAAGGGTTGGTGTGGATTGGACTGGACTGGACTGGACTGGACTGGAACAATTGCACGACGGCAGCGGACAAGGGAACTGGTCACTGGACAGTTTGATATCCCACAGGCATACCTTGCTGGCTTGGTAAAGAAGAGGCAACGGACGCATCGTCAACAGATCAATTAAAAAAAAATTAAAAAATACAACCCCCTCCGTCAACGCAACAATCGAATCAAACAATCATCGTGATTATGCCCAGTCCAGTCCAGTCCAGTCCAACCCGAACAGCGAGAGGCACAAAGAGAGAGGAGTTTCGTTTCTATGCATGAGAAGGATAGGAGGATGATAGCGAAGAGAGAAAACAGGGCAAAAAAGAACTAAATAAAACATACTCCGACAAATAGAGAGATACCCAAGGGCTTGCCATAGTACAGTTGAACTTGAATTTAATTATTTTCTTACTACCTTTCTGCTCTTCTTTTAGTCTTTCATTCGTTCCGTTTCTAATCATCGTGATTCGGCTTGCTCACTCATGCTTGTGCTTCTATTCCAACTTTCCATCCGAATTGACTTGACGTTGCGTCACATTTCGTCTCTTCCTTGTTTTCCGAAAGTAATGGATGGAAGGAAGAGCTAGCCAGACTTCCAGTTCTAAACGAGGATGATGACCAAACCAGATATTCTACACTTAGGTATTGTATTGTCTTTACAATTTGTCTGGCAACAACCATAGTTGTCAACCTCGTCTTTATCAGTACCTAGGGGAGATGGGATTCTATCAGGATGCCATGCGTTCGTTCGTTCGTTCGTTCGTTGTTTCATCCCAAGCGGAATTTAAGCTTGCCTAGGTAGATAGATGCTGAGGCCTGAAAATACCTTTGGTAAACGTCAAATATCGGACAAAAGATATATCATCCATCAGGTATGGCAGATCAGATAGGATTATCTTTGCGAAAACGTCGACGCAAGGAACTACAGGTACTTCAAACATCATACCATATATACTTCCCAATCGTTTCGAAAGACTGACTTCCACTTCCATTTCATCCTTCTCTCCTGTCCACCTAGATCTCTCTAGCCGCGTTATGTTCATCCCTCCTCCCTCTCATCGACAAGTGGAAGTGAACCATAGTCCAAGTCTATCTATGTAGGCATGGAAGGAATCCTCCTGTCCCAGACGCTTTGCTTAACACTGTCTCCCTATGAATGCTCTCCTCCCATCCCTTCGGTTCATCCGTGCCCATCCATTCCTGCCAGTCCACCCAGCCCGCCCTATATATTCGTACCGATCAAATCACGCAGGCCCTGTTGCTCTATTCTTCGGGGTTACTACCTCACCATTCTTCTCGGCCGGCCAGCTCACAGAAGGCGCAGATTCCGAAAGCGGGAATTTTGCTAAGTATGTAGTATTTGAAAAGTCCTACCCGGTACTCTATCGCTGCGAACACATGTGAAAAACACAACGCTTCCAAAGGATCGAAATCTCCCCATTTCCTTGCCTGCCGCCGCGCAGCTGCTGCATCCACTCCTCGTCCATCGACAATGGTAATCCCGTATCCGTTATCTCTCCCACTCCTGTGTAACCTTCCCTCCCTAATTCTTCCCACCCGAGGCTGTCTCTGCGTGCTCGGTATGCACCGTGGGCGCGAGATATTATCGCCAAAGCAGCGTCACGTCACTCGGTCACCTGACAACTTGTCTCTCCCCAAGACCACAACAACCAGGCTAGCCCCTCTCGCGTTCAGTTATAATCTAGAACCCAATTGCCGTTCTACAGCCCGAAGTAATATGGGTCAAAGTTCCCCGCCTACGGGTCGCAAAATGTTGGCGCCGCATTCGCCTCGAGGCCCTGTCCTGGGATTTCGTCGAGTCCTGGTGCCAGTCTTCTCCCACCCTACTGGGGCAAGGCGTACTTCTGTGTCCATTCGCGGGCGGTGGCAACGGCCATGTCGGGGTTCTCCTTCCAGGTCTTGGCCACGTCGGGGGCGAGCGGGTCGTCGGGGTTGGGAGCACCTAGGAGGGCTTGGATGGAGAGGAGGATGGTGCGGATTTGCAGGGCGGGGGACCAGTTGTCTGTCGGGAGGTATCGTGTGTAAGCTTTTGGACCTTGAATAGATCTGCTTCTCAGGGCTCAGACTCACTCTTGAGGACGTCGAGGCAGATGCGACCCAGCTTGTCAACGTTGGGGTGGTAGATCTTGGTGAGGAAGCGGATCTTGGGAGGGGTCATGGGGTAGTCATCGGGGAGGAAGAGTTCGAGCTTGAAGACGCCACCTGTGTTGGTGTGTTAGTGATCGCGTATGTACTTCTGGGGGAGGTTTTGTCTGCAATGGCGCAACGGGAGTAGAGAGATATATCGGGGGCCGTGGGGGTAAGGAAGACCAACCCTCATATGGCGATTGCGAAGGGCCGTGAATCTCGACGTCGAAATAGCGAAGGTTGTCCTCGTGGGGGATAGCACTAATACCGGGGACACTGCGATCAGGAAGGAGATGTTAGACCTCGTTCGGGCTGTTTGCTCTCGGGATGGGCATGGTGTGGACGTACGGCTCAGCCATCAGCCTTTCGGTCTCTTTAACGATTCTCTTGGGAAGCGCCATGGTGCCTATATCAAGTTCTGTTGGTTTTACTGTGACGGAAAACTGGACAAGCAGGTTGGAGGAGTTGCTGTGTGGAAAATGTTTCTCGCTGAGGCTGGCTGAGAGGGAGGCGGGCAAGTAGAGGGGTTATCGCAGAGTGTAAGTAAGAGGCAGTAAAGAGGCGTTTCGGAGGCTCCGGTTGACAAATCGAGGCAAACAGTGTATCACGGTGCGAAGGGGTCGTTGGTAAACAATGGAACGAGCAGTAAAGCGGTGATATGGCTAGAATAAGATTGTCATAAGGCAAGCCGATTCTCAAATTGTTTTAGAGAGAAGTGGAAGACGGCAGAATCTCTTGCGAGACAATTCACGGCCAAGTTCTCTTCACGAGCGAAGGAACAAACTGATGAAGTGGGCAGGCAGAAGGTGGGATGCGCTGAGGGCGGGCGCAATGAACCCGTCAGTGACCAAACCACTGAATGTCAGCAGCCACGGCTCTGACAGGAACAGGTGATGGAATCATCATCCCTCTCCAGGTCTAATCGAATTTCGCGATAAGCGCACGGACCATGTGATCACCTAAGAAAGGTACATGCCCAAAGTCACTCCGCTTCTGGCGATGAATGCCACTGCACACTGCAGGAGTGCCGTTCCGTGCTGTCTCCAAACACTGTTCATCGGCGTCTTGTCGAGGTTGACGCCGTTGTTGGTTTGACCTTCCACTCACTGAGAGAAAGAGTCCACATCTTGGCTCTCAGGCGGATTCCTCCATTGCATTTGTCTTTTTCAACCAGCCAGCCTTCCATTTTCCTCCGCTGATATCGACGCCTCTCGACATGTTTTGCATCGATCATCGACGACGACGACGATCTTTGATATCTTCGATTTGCACGCGACTTCACCAGTCCCGAGACGCCCTACAAATGCAAGTTTGTTCGTCCTTGGGAGAGCTTGTTTAGTTTTTCAACATAAAGTCTCATCAAATCCCGTCAACTCATCCTTGGTTTACCACTTCGAGGCCCCAGGCCCAGGCAAACTCCAGCATTGAGAATGGGATGAGGGGAGGGAACGCACCATGCTGCCACCCTCTCGCCCAATTCTAGACTCTCAATATGCCGTCCGTATTTGACTCTCCGCCGAAGAAGGCGAAAACAATAAAGTCGGCCTTCGACAGTGAGAGCTTCGATGCCGACCTGACCATCCATGTTGATGGCTTGGTAGGCTCCGCAACCATCTCACCCTCGGGTCGTGATGTTGCTCTTGCTTCCCCTGAGGGCCTCGCCATCATAGACCTGGACTCGCCATGGAACCCACCACGAAGACTGAGCAGTCACGGCCTCCCATGGCTTGTTGTCGATGTTCAATGGTCTCCTTTTGCAGCCCGTGACTACTGGGTGGCCTCGACAGACAAACCACCGATGTCTCGTATGGAACCTCAACATGAGGGACGACTCGCCCTCTGGCGCCATCGAACACTCGTTGCAAGCTCATAGCAGAGCCATCACCGATATCAACTTCTCCGCTCACCATCCAGACCTTTTAGCTAGTTGCTCAGTCGACGGTTACGTTCATCACTGGGATCTGAGAAGACCAAGACAGCCAGCCTTGACGTTCTGTGACTGGTTTGCCGGTGCCACTCAGGTCAAGTACAGTCGTCAAGACCCTCACGTCCTTGCTTCAGCTCATGACCGTTGGCTTCATATCTGGGACGACCGGAAGACAGTCGAACCACTCAAGACCATCTGTGCCCACACGTCCAAAATCTACGGTATCGACTGGAATCGGACCGAGGCTTCAAGCTTGGTTACCTGCTCCCTGGATAAGACCATCAAGTTCTGGGACTACGAAAAGACCGATGAACCAGAGCGAGTCATCCGCACCGACTTTCCAGTATGGCGAGCTAGACATACCCCTTTTGGTACTGGCTTGCTTGCCATGCCACAGAATGAGCCGGGCAATCTTTACCTGTACGATCGACGAACCACCCCAGAGGCTCCGAGCGCATCAGAACCTGTTGCCCTTTTTCCGGGACACGGAAATCACAAGGTGAAGGAGTTCCTGTGGAGAGCCCGAGGATCAGTTAATAGCGAGGGTGTAGATGACCGAGAGTTTCAATTGGTTTCCTGGGGCGAAGATAACGAGCTGCGGTTGCAAAAGGTTGAGCCCCACATTCTCGAGTCTATCGGCTATGTCAAAGGGAAGACCGTGGTGAAGAACCTGGCCTTCACCCGTAAAGGCGCAGCTTACAAGACTTTCCGCGCAGTCGACGATACTGTCCACCGCGATCGCAGGACTGCTACCATGAGCGACCCGCGTCCGGGAAGCTCCGGCCAGTATCGCAAGAGTGCTCTCAGCTACGGCCTGAATTCTCATCTCCGTCGTATTGGGCCTACCTGGCGAGGTTCTCCAATGAAGGCCAAGGTGAATGGCGGCAAAAGCATGGACAAAAGTCAGCTGCAAATCGGATGGATGAAGGGCATCTCCATGACCAAGCGGAAATCCGAGTCTGATGGCCCTGGAAGAGGTAGCATCAAAGACTCTGGCCTCTTTAGCCACGGTGCCTATGACGATGACTGGGCTGAACCCGAGACCATCCAGGATGAGTTCATCCATGTCAGTAATCGTCTTCCCAACGTAAAGTGGGAAAACATTGATATGGATGCTTTGATTCTCAACGCCTCACTGAAGGGGCCATGGGGCGTCAACGACGAGGGAATCTTCATCAAGGTCAAAGTTGATATCCCCACGAGCTACCCAACCAGCAAGGCCCCCAAGTTCTATGTCGAAAAGACATCATTCATGCCCGAAGAAACACACGAGAAGATAGAGCGTGAGTTACAGATACTCGCCAATCAGTTCCTCGAACGGAAACAAAACTGTCTCGAGGTGGCCTTCTCATACTTGCTCGGCGACGTCGACCTCGAAAACAGTACCACCCTCTTTAAGAATGTCAGGGATCTCAATGACGAGGAAATCGAAGCGCTAGCAGACGAAAGCTCCAGCGATGAGGAAGACAGCGATGTCCAGGCTGGAGGATCCGTCTCAATGTCACAGGACCTTACGGCGAGCACTGAACTCGATCCGACAGCCACCCTTGCTCCAACACAACGCCCCATTGCAGTGCCGACGCCCAGAAAGTGCGGAGCGAGATTTTCCAACGACGGCAGACTTGTGTGCTTCTTCCCGTCGAAAGAACAACAAGCCCTCGCATTATTCTCGCTGCCCAATTCGGACGCCTATCGTGATCGACAGAAAGGAGAACCAAACTTTGCAGGTTTCGGTCGTCTTGCTCAGGATTCGCCGCCTCCAAGACGTAGATACAACGATGATAACTCAGATTCTGACAGCCTAAGTGAAGGATCGGAAGACTCAGAGTCCAGCTCTTCCAGCGATTCAGAGCCGTCAACCATGCACAAGATCAGTCTTTGGTGCCAACCTGGTGGGCGCCGTCTCAAGAAGACATGGAGCGCCAACGACTCGCTGCGCTCTAGCGGAGGAGGCACTGGCGCTGGTACCGGTACTGGAACGGGCATCAGCCGAAGAAGGCTCCCAGCCAGGCCCAAGAATACCATTGCCATCCATGATCTGCGCAGTCTCCTCCCATCGCAGAAACAGTTTGCTCAGGAGTATGCCATCTTTGGCGATGGTGCTGATGTGTGCATGCATAATGCCATGGTTGCTGAGAAATACGGATATCACGATCTTGTTCACATATGGCATTATGCGGCAATGTTGTTGCGCAATGATATCCCGCTAGAAATCCATGAACAACAAAACAGAAAAGAGTCTGTCCTTGTCATTGCCAGGGACGCCTCTGCCCGGGCTCGGGATGACGAATATGCACAGCACTTCGGCTGGGACATCAATCTATCCGGCCGTGTTAAATGGGGTTATCATCCATTAGCTCAGAGCTTGATTGCCGACCTTTTTGACTATTTTGAGAAGGTGGCTGACATCCAGATGTTAGCCATGCTTGCTTGCATCTTTGGAGACTCGTCCGCTGAGGATGGGGTAGCTTATGCAGGATCGCATCTTCCTCAGCCTGAGACGCCTTTGCCCATGAAGGCCCCTTCCTTTTCACTAGAGTATTTCCCTACCGACCCGGCATTATGGCATATCAACTACAAGAGTCAGGCTAGTAGTGCTATCACGACTCCTAGAACGGTCCATACTCCTGCGATATACTCTGAGTCACAAGGATCCGAGGACGTCATCGCTTTGCTTGAGCCTACCCCCAACTCCTTCTCCGCTGGCGAAACTCCTCCGAAGATGCCTCGGGATCATCTAAGAGAAGTCGATCAAACTCAGAGCCTATCGACATCGCCCAGCAATAGGCTATTTCAGCGCTCCAACTCGGCTGTTTCTGCAGCCTTCAGCCTACCGAAGACACTGGCTGGGATGGTTTCGGGGTCGCCCCCAGATCCCCCGTCACGAAAGCGGCCTAGCCCTGCCGAAGCCATCTTCAACAACCTTGCCCCAAGTGTCACCTGGGGAGCTTCAACCGTGTTCGGTGGTACGGCTCCTGAAACACCGGGTACGGCACGAACTTCACTCTCGGATGATGAGAGTAGAGGCCATGACATGACGGTCTTGGTCCCTGTTGCAGTTTCGGTCGTGCCAGAGAACCAAGGTCTCTTTGACGACGATGGATGGCTCAACACACCTCTTCTTGACCCAAGCCGCAACCATGTCTACTCGTATTACCGCTATGCCTACGCCGAGATGCTGCAAATGTGGGGCCAGCCGCTATCTCGTCTTGAAATTATGAAGTTTAACGTACTCAAGGGTGACAAGACATTGAGCTCTAGGTGGGATAGCACACACAGCATGGACGGCCACTATGACCACGAGACGGCCGAGAACACAGCTGCTAACAGTGCCAGCCACAGCTCTGCCTTTGGCGGAAAGAAAGAACAACTCCAGGCTTTGATCGCCTCCGGCCGCGGTCTTGATGTTACGGGCATCTGCCGCATCCATGAAGTTCAACTCGATCCAGTGGAATACACCAGGCCAACCAAGGGAAAATATGGTGGTGCCGTTGGTACTTGTCACAGGTGTGAAAAGGCCGGTAACAGGAAAGAACAAAAACAACTCCGCTGCGTGTATTGTCTCGAGCCCATCGCTGCGCTCTATCCGCCTTGTCTCGGCTGCGGCTGTGCCTTCCACGAAGCCTGTCTGGCTGAGTGGCATGAGATGGGTGAAGAGGAATGCCCAGCAGGCGATGAGTGTTGCTGTGTCGAGGATGCCAGCAATGGGCAAGTAGAGACCTGGCCGGCCTTGCAAGCTGCTGTGGCGGCGATGAATAAGATAAGAAGCGCCGCCAGCGGAAGTCTGCATCGGCAGATGGACCGCGACAAGGAGAAGAGCTCAGGCAGCCAGTCGGGTATATCAAGGAGATCATCCATCAAGACGGTCCTAAACGGCGTCGCCAGTGTCGCCAGCGTCGCCACTGGAGGAGGCACCGGCAGCCGACCGCGACGCCGAAGCGTACCCACCGACCTCGCCAAGTTCATGCGCGGCGGCCGCTCCGACCCAAAAGCCTACTCTCCGGACGACAACGACGACTACGACGAAGACGACGACGACCTACCCACCATCGCCATCACTATTTCCAACGGGGGCGACCGAAGCCGCAGCGCCCACCCAATCAACCGCCGCGCCGTCTCAACCGCTTCCCCCATCATCCTGCCCGTGGTTACCACAACCCCGCACCAGTTCGGCCGGCGCAGAGGCGGCAGTTCCGCCTCTCACCTCGCCGCTACCGGCGGCTACGGCATCGGCGGTTACGGCCATCGATCCTCAAAGCTCTCCCACTTTTACATCGCAGCCGACGCCGACAACTCGGGCGACTCGGCCGATTCCAACAACGACGACACCGACACCGCCACAGGCCAATCCACCGCCTCCAACTCCCAAAGTACCTCCCAAATCCTCCTCTCAGGCAACGACATCGACCGCGAAGATTGGGAATCCGTCGCTTCCGCGCGGGGCATTCCCTCCCTTTCCAACGACCCTTTACACCCTTCGCACCACTCACGGTCAGGGTCTAGGTCTGGGTCAGGTGGTTCCTCCCGTTCGGCGTCCGGTGGGTCTGACACCGGAGGCGGTATGAAAGATAGTACGTCATCGTTGGCGGCCTTGAGGGGAACTGGAGGAACTGGAGGAGGTGATAATGGGAGCGGCGAGAGGAGACCGCACCACGAACGTACGCCCAGCGGAAGAGGGTTCACGGCGCTGAAACCGCCGCCTTACGGAGACGAGCCAATAAGTGCGGCGAGATTGAGTTTGGGGAATCGGTTGAAGAAACATATTGCTGCTGCTTCTTCTGGTTCGGGGTCGGGGTCGGGGACGAAGAATGATTCAGGAGCTGCTGGAAATGTTGGGAATGAGGGTACTGGTGAGGTAAACACTACCGCAGGAAGTAGTGGTGGAAATGGAAATGGAAATGGAAACGGAAGTGGGAGTGGAAGTGGAAGTGGAAGCGGGGGTAGTAGCTCGCTACTGGGAGGTGGTGGACAACGGCCAAGTCTGTTGAGGAAGAAGAGCACGGGTATTGCTGTGTGGAGGGGTGGTGGTGGTAACTAGTGGAACTATTACTCAACTCAAACTGAGGAAAGGGAAAGGGGAACAGAGAAAGACAGGGGAAAGGATGTTGGCGGCGAAAAGAGATCACTTGGTAGATAGGAGCGGCAGTGATGTTAGGTGGAAGAAGATAGGTTAGCAAAAAGCAAATGAGGATCGGGCTTTGAATTATGGTAGTCTTTTTTTTCACTTGCATTCCGTTCCACCCTCTTTACCTCTCTCTCTCTCTCTCTCTCTTTACTTCTCTTTATCTCTCTTTCTCTCTTCGCTTTTTATTTACCTCCTTTTTCTTTTTACCTCTCTCTTTACCTCCTCTCTTTAACTCTTTCTTTACTTTTCTCTCTTTATTTCCTTCTTTACTTTTCTCTTCACTTCTCTCTTCACCTCTTCTTCACTTCTCTTTCCAAAGCTGAAGATGATGTGCATACCTTAACGAGCTTCCTATTTTCAGTAACAAGAGATCTAAGCTTGAGAAATCTAGGTATGATGGTCTCATCACCATGTTACATATCGGCCAAAGGGTTGTTGAAGATAAATCTGCGGGAATACGGGAGCATTGGCTATTACTTCTAACCCCTGGGTTGGGGAAGGACCCATCCATCTATGGTCGTGCTTTCCAGTCCTTCAACGTGCGTGCCCTACCCTGCCTAAAAATGGAAGAGTCAAATGCACCTTCCCTGTCCTGGCGAGCCCGGTTCTTCGTCATCGTGGGCGTTAGGTTTGTTCGCGTTGAGTGATGTGGACGGGTTCGATATACCCTGATCAACGGCGTCGAGATCTTTGTGCTCCTTTCCCCCCGGCCCATTCTTTTGCCGCTATAGTTGACTTCACTTTTTTTTCTCTTTTCGGCGTTTATTTTCAACTCAATATGATGATGGTCTCGGCATTTCCCTTGGATGGCACCGGTTCTTGACCCTCCGAGCATAATCTCGTCATCCTTTGGTGGCTGGTGATCGACAGTGGAGGGTAGCTCTGCTAGAAATTCCCGTTTTTGGGCCCCATAGGACATAAGGGAGAGTCTTTTGTCTTCGTCCGTATCATTTAAAGCTTGCAACCTTCGACCCAGCCTTCCAATCCTGAACTCACATGGCCGTTGGATGGTATATGGTATAGACCGAAGCTTGAAAAGGCTGTGAAGGTTATCGATCCACTACAAACGAGTGGAAGAGCAGTCCGAAGAAAGAGTGGGCCGAGGTAAGCCTATAGGACTAGATGAGCAACCTCCTTGGGATCGTGTTGCGGTTAATCCCAAATGGGAAAAAGCCCAAATGAAAAGCATATCGTCCGACAAAAGCGGCGAGTCAAAACGGCGGTGATGAACAAAAAAGAACAACCTTTCATCTTCGTCTTCGCCTGTATCATGTAGACTTGTAAACTTGAAATCAAATCGCCATGTGCAATTCACCTGGACCCAAGATGAATCGAGTCCCAGCTGGTCCACACGGGCAACCAGATAGATAGATAGATAGATAGATAGATAGCACTGTGAACTGTACATCCAATCTTGAGAGATAGAAACACCGTGAAGGTGACCGGCGATTCACTGGAAAACCTCAACTTGATCGTGAAAGGCACGGCATGTCCTTCGAAACCAGCAGTATCGAGTTGATAAATATCCCCTTTGAAACTCCTTCTTCAGGTTGCAGAATTATCCAACAACCAACAGCAACAGTAACAGTAACAAGAAGTCTCAAAGCCTTCCCGTCTTGAAAACCATCAACAAGAGAAACCAAAGAAGAAAAGAAGTCCACGAAAGCTTCCACTTGGCAGGTATCATACCAACTCACCCCTCAGTTTCGCAACTCACCACTGACCACTCCCAAGTCACACCCCAATCCCCTTTTCTTTCTTTTTCTTCTTTTTTTCCTCAACATGTGCACCGAATACGTCTACATAACCAAGTGCTGGAACTGCGGCGTCGAGCACGGCGCCATCACCACCCGGTGCGAGAAGTGCGACAACGCCACTCGTCACAACCAGCGCTGGGGCGGTTGCGGGCGCACTCACTACCGCGACCAGATCCAGCACTCGGCCTGCGCTTCGTGCGAGACGGTGAATAAGTCGGGGCATAGCCGTCGCTGAATCTGATGATGGTGGTGATGATGATGATGATGATGGTGGTGGCGAATGAGGGAAAGAAGAAGAAGAGGAATGACGATGGACGGACGGGAAGGGAACTGAAGGGAAGGGAAGGGAAGTGGGAAGGGGGGAAGAGGTTTCTATGGTGGAAGAGGAGGAGGAAGAGGAGTTTCCTGGAAGAGGAGGAGTGGTAGAAAAGGGAAAGATGGAAACATAAACGACGAGGAAAGAAGGGAAAGTGCCAACCAATGTAAACGACACCATGACACGGCATGGATGGCATGTTACGGGAGGAATATCTGACGATGATGATAATGATAATGACGATAGAGGAAACATGAAGAAAGGGCTATCTGCCTCAGATTGAGGACATAGTGGCTGGTGATGGGAAAGAAAGATGAAAAAAAAAAAAAAACAAGAACAAAAAGATGAAATACAACAAAATCCATTACCTACCTATTGATTTGCCTACCTACCTAATCATGTTGAGACCTGCCTGCTCAGTTGCCCAGTTGCCCAATGAATGCGAATGTGAAGAGTTACCTAGCAGTTGTTGCGTGATCAAAGCAAGGTGAACAAAGAGTGCCTAACTTAAAAAAACTGAAGATACGGCATGTAGGTAGGTTCCAGAGGTCATTATCGCTTTGATTCTCCGCTGCTGCTGAAGTGCAGACACCATTCATTATCAACAACAAGTCTATTTTGTTCGTACGTACACTCTTCAATATTTCCTTCCTCAACCATTCCCACACTAGATAAGGTACCTTTATGGGACGACCTTTATGGGACGACCTTTATGGGACGACCTTTATGGGACGGACCTAATACTATACATATCATACTTAATGCCTATGTGATTTAGCCTCTGAAGGCCTCAATAACTCTATATTTTCCTTTGCTCATCTTTTTTCTTCTTGACCTTCTTGTCCACTCTCTGATTTTCCCTCTAGCGCTTTCCGATGAATGTTGGGGGTTTTTCTACCCATGGCTATGTGCCAAAGTAGTCCGTTCGAGATACATATTGCGTAGCTCAAGCTGCTGCATCTTCATTTATATTCTCCAATGAGTAGAGTGTATTGTTATGAACCAAGGCCAACAGATACAAAAGCCAAGACGTAGTGGTGCTGAACCTGTCTTTGTGGCCGGCATGTTGTATTCGTGTATAAAAAGATGTTGGCCCAGCACGCGCGAGTACAGCGTGATTAAGCGACGGAGTCTGCGTCCTTCATAGAGTTTCCCCGAGTCTCGCTTCCTGCGTGTGGTGAAGGATATGTAACATCATAATGAAGTGTCTGCTCCAATAGTACTCTGAAGGGCGACGGCGGTGGGCATTTTAATGCAGGATTATTGGTATTCCAGATCAGGGTGAACGACCCAAATCCTTGACCGGAGTTCGTTTCCCATCCATCACGGCCACTGACTCTCTCTGTAAAGAAAGCAGTCACTTATTCCAGCAGAAAACTCCCAGAAAAAGCAACGAGAGTGCGCCTTGTTCCTCCTGGTTCAGTTCACGGTACTCGTGCTCGATACATTCCAACACCTTTTCGTGGACCAAAATTAATGAACCCCAGTCATCAATATAATCAATCAACCACTAGTGATAAGGAATGCAAAAGTCGATCCATGTGCCGAGGTAGTCAAGACGGTTGCCATGCTCCTCCTCCAACTTCCAGACAGTTTCAAACTCTTCGTAGTTGAGTCTGCCCCATCCGCCACGCTCCTTGGCCTCCTTTTCGGCTAGGTCGAGGAAACGCCACTGGACAAGAGTGTTGATAGGGATGTTGGACGGATCCTGCGGTTCTTGGCTTGCGTCGTGGTGGGCTTCTGCCGCAGTTGCGCTGGAGGATGCAGCGGCAGCATCAGCCTCGTTGGCCTTTCCTTGAGGTGAGGAGTGGTCTTGGGTCTCTCCTGAGACCGAGGTACGAGGCGTAGTTTCAGACATGGAGTTTGGTCGGAACTGAGGCAGTGTCGGATCGTAGTAACTGGAGACATTCGGTTCGTCGTGATGCACCTCTTCCGCAGCCTCGACAGCTTCGGCGCCGTTGGAGGGCTCTTGGTTGTCAGAATCATGCTGTGTTTCTTGGGTAGGCTCAGCTTCAGCCGGAGAGGTCTCGTCGACACTATAGCCACTAGCCGCCAAAAGCTCCTGCAAACTCTGCTCAGAGATGGGCTTGTCACCGTCTCGGTCGTTGATATCTTCCGATGGACGGAAAAACAGCATCTCCTCGGCAGCCTTTTGAATCATGCCGCCGTCGGCATGTTGCACCATGCCTTTCTCGATAGACTCGAGCAATGGGCGGTACTTGTCACGCACAGCCTTGGTCTCGGCACACCGAATCGCTATGTCCTCCTTGAACTTGAAAAGCCTGTCGAGAAGCTCGTTGAAGGCTTGCTGGATAACCTGGTAGAAGACCTCCTTGCCAGCGTCTCTTTCGGCGCCGGGGATCTCCATACCTCCCCACCGCTCAGGGATGCTTCGCGAAGATGTGGAAGGGTTGGATCGAGTGTCATAGTCGTCTATGTCCTCGGCAAATCGAACTTTGGACGATGATGGCGAGCGCGGGGAAACCGGTTTGGAACTTTCACCCAGTCCTTCCAGGTTGGCCAAGATGTCGTTTTCTGGGTTCCAATAGTTCGGAGGCAACACCCCTTCTTCCTCATCTAGGTAGAATTGTCGTCTCCGGTAGCGTTCCATGAGCCTTTTTCGCACATTTTTCTCGGCGCGTACATACCGGCGGTATTGGGCATCGGGGTCGTCAGTCATCCTCATGACAAATCCGTCGCCACGAATGATGTTCGGGTCTGCGTCGTCCTGATGGGCTCCGGAACGGTCGCGGTGTCCGTCCTCTTCCTCGCTCGTCCCGTCATGATCCTCATCAGGGTTAGTAACAAAGAGGACATCGTCGCCATCCCGTCGTTGACCAGTAAGCAACGAAGGTAGATCCTCGACGCGAGCAGGCGGGTTTAGCAAGGCAGCAAAGTAGCGCAGGGACTCTCTGGGCATTCCAGTAGCCTCCTGATTGTTGTATTCCTCCAGGATAGCGGCGAAAAGGGATTCGCTGTCGCGATTTTCTTGCTGAAATATGCTCTCAAGCACGGCCTCGCGATCAGCGGTATCTGGTTTGTCCTTGTTGACAACGCTGGTGCGCCCGTCGATAATTCGCACGTCACCGTTGTTGGTAAAAACCTTTCCGTACATGGGCCGATCACTGTCCGATCTAGGGATAGCACCTTCACGTCCAAAGAAGCTGCTCACAGGATGTCTACTAGAAATCAGCTGCTTGACTTCGTTGGAGCTCATGACCTGATCGTCGAGGCCTTCCAGCATGTCCTTATGCATCTCCTTAAAAAGCACGTAATAGGCGCGGAACAAGCGTAGAAAGTCTCGGCGGTCTACATAACCATCTCCGTCAATATCGTAGCCATTGAAGATGCGGCGAAGCCTGTGCTTGCTTTTGCGGTAGGTGGTAGCGTGTAGGAACTCGGAAAAGCCGATCAGATCATCGTTGTTGGTGTCGTAGAAGGCGAACATGCGGTCGTACAGCAGATTCGGGGCATTGTGTCGATTCGAACCAGAAGGTACCAGGGTGCGCTCAAAGGTCTTTCGATCCATGGCCAAGTTGAGACCATCTGGGTCCTCTTTCCATTCGGTATTTGCCAAGAATGTCCATTGCTCCCACAAGGCTTCGAGTTCAGGACGCTCCAAGCCAGTCGATCGAGATAGCTTCGCGATGGCGGCCCTGTTGAGCACTCGCACGCAGTTGTCGGGATTTCCTGGATACCATACGGGCTGGAGCTGTCGCGGACCGAGTCGAGGGGCGGGAACCTTGATTTTGTAGAACACGTGTGTCTTGATGTGGAGGTCTTGGTATTCGCAAGTCTCGCAGAGGTCGAAGTCGGCACAGTTTGCGCAGCGGTATCGAATGCCACGGATGGGCACTATTCCACAAGCGTTGCACTGGCAGCCACGGTGAACGTAGGAGCTACGCCTGGCATTGTCCTCGGAGACGCGAAACAGTAGATTAACAATATTCTGGCCGGCGCGGTGATTGGCGTACCCGTCTCCGGGGCCGTTGTCGTTCCACCAGTCGTCATCAGCAATCTGTAGGGCCTGGTCGTCGGCGACAGTCTGGGCATCGGTCGGTTCGGGGATCGGGATGGAATCGTCGGGGTGGCCTTCTAAGGCACGAGCGGTAGCGGAGTCTTGAGAAACATCGGAGCGGCGGCGGTCGCGGGTGAGGTCGGGGGCAGAACGTCTGCGGTGACGGACGGCATTGCTTCGACGGACACGGCGAGAGGGATCAGGTTCGGGGAAAGACGGGTTGTAGATGCGGTAGCAGAAGTATCCCAGGGAGGCGGCGGCAGCACAGGAGAAGAGGGCGACGCCGATGCGGTGCCTGGTCAGCGTCGAGGCTGCGGCACTTGGGCGTTCCATGATGGTGATGACCGTGATGGTGTTGGGCAGCGGATCATGGTATCATGCTTGTGACCATGTTGTGACGCAAATGAAGCTTGTCGTGGCTGGAGTATGTGTTGTTGAAGTGTTGTTCTTGGAGAAAAGAGAAGGTCCAACCAGAAGATGATCAAGTTGGCTAAGAAGTTACAAAGTTCAGTTCGGAGCTGTTTAGAAGCGGCAGTGGAACATTGGAAGCTATGTTTGGCTTACCCCACAATTTGTTAACAAACCCCCTGCTCAATTCCTCCCCACAACCCCATTCTCCCTTCGTCCTCATCTTTCTCAAACTCAACGACGAGGCAATGGGTGTCAAAGTACGCCATTGAATAAACCCATGAGGTGATATTTCGAGTTGAGTAAGCTCTCAGAAAAGCAAAGAAGTACTTTCCTTGCTTTTCGTATCAGCTTCCTTTTTCCTTGGACTCCCCAGGGTCCAGTTCCATCATTTCTTCCGATATCTTGACCAAGCTTCGACTTACAAATCAAACCAGAATATTGTAACTTCACCTCCAAGTTGGAATACAAATACATAAGCCCCTTTCCCCGTATCGTTGTCCACAGCTGACTTTGACTCATCTTTATTTATATATCCTCATACGCCCCCCTACCCAGCTCCCAATCCATCTTCTCGCTTTCCTCCCCTGTACCCTTACCGTGATACACCCACCTCTAACCATCAATATCTCCAACCACCACCACCACCACCACCATGACCGACCAATACCTCATCTGCACCGCCTGCGGCACCCAACACCCGCACATCTCCCGCTCCTCTCTCAAGACGTGCTTCATCTGCGACGACCCTCGCCAATTCGTTCCTCCCTCAGGCCAATCCTTCACCACTCTCTCTGACCTGCGTTCCTCAACATCTCCCAAGTACAAAAACGAGTTCCACCCTTACAAGTACTCCAGCCCACAGGAAAAGTTCACCTCCTCCGCAAGATCAAACTTATCAAACTCAAACGGGGAGCCAAAGGAACCAAAGGGGCCAGCAACCATCGAAGACCTCAAGCAAGCAGAACTAATCTCCATCACCACAACCCCCAAATTCGGCATCGGCCAGCGCGCCATCCTCATCAGAGGACTCCCTTCCGGCAAAAACGTACTCTGGGACTGCGTCGCCTACTTGGACGATGACACCATAAACACAATCAAGCAGTTAGGCGGCGTGGACGCCATGGTGATCAGCCATCCGCACTTTTACACGACGCACTTGGAGTGGGCGAAAACTTTCAACTGTCAGGTGTGGTTGGCTGCAGATGACAAGCAGTGGAGGGCGAGGCTGGATGATGAGGGTTTGCGAAGAGAGATTATGGAGGAGGAAACGGTCATCTTGGATAAAAGCGGGGAGGAGACGGGGGTTGTGGCTGTTAAATTGGGGGGACACTTTCCTGGGAGTTGTGAGTCTTTCTTCTTCTTTTTTTCTTCTTCTTTTTTTTCACCCTCCCAGCCGGTCTTTGATTTGATAAGTGTGTGAGACTGACTTAAAAAAAAGTGGTCCTTCACATCCCTCACTCCCGCCGTTTACTCACGGCAGACACAATCTTCACCACCCCCTCTGGTCTATCCAATTGGGAAGTGAACGCACTGGGGGAACCTCGCTCGCGACCCAAGGACACCAACTCGTACTCGTTCATGTGGAGTATTCCCAACATGATCCCTCTCAGCGCCGACGAGATTGCGCGCATGTGGGGGATCTTGAAGAAATATGACTTTACGAGTACCCACGGCTTAATCCTGGGACAGGATATTGAGGAGGCGGATGTCAAAAAGAGGGTGCTGGAAAGTGTGCAGATCCAGCTGAGGATGATGGGGGTGAAGGAGCATCCGGTTTTCAGCGAGGATATTTGAGCTAGCTATAAGCATAATGTAAGCATAAGGTGGTTGTTATATAAAAGGGGATCTTTGTTACAAGAATCTCGTTATGTGCCACCTCGCTCCCCCTTTCCCCTCGCTGCCTGTTCAGTCCAACCGAACAACACTTGCTTTGTTGACTCGATCTAGCACTACTTACTTACAGCCTATTCACGAAACTTGAGGCAAGTCTCCCCACAAGTGTTCTGTTTCTCCGTCACTCACAGCGATAACCACATCCTAGTTTAGTAGGTCCAGTTACTTATGGTAAAGATCTTGCCGATGGAGTGTTTTATGTTTTCCACATCTGCCATGCCCTGACCGACCGTCCTTCACTCTCTCCGTCTCTATCACATACCTCATCAGAGTTTCGAGCATCGTATCGTCACATATAACAGGGGACTAGAAGAAGGGTAACACTAACCTATCTATGTCCGTATGAACTCGGTAACTATATTCATTCCTCTAGATCTAAACTTTAATGATACTTTATCGCCCGCTCTTCATTTGAACCAAGGGCCATCTCGAAACTAGAACTCGCCGAAATATACATGCCCCCCCGCCTGCGCTTCTGTTCTAACCTGAGTATGTAAAAGATAAAAAAGGATAAGATATATGTATGAATGCACCGGCTACGGTTCTCTCCTCAGCTACAACCAACCACCTAATCACCTACTATTCCTGCTTCAACGAGAACGCACGGCTACTACCAATCATCCTCATCATCATCCCTCTTCGCCATCGCCTGCTTCCTCGCCTTCAACGCATCCGCCAAACTGCCTGCTATGCTCGGCGTCGGCGTACTACTCCTGCTTGCATCACTAGCGTTTCCTGATCCATTCGCTCCGTTCAAGCTCATGCCCGAGTCCCTAGCCTGCAACGACGCCACCGCGGGTGCAGGGGCGGGCTTCCGACCAGCGACTGGTCGCTTGGCAGGCGGCTGAGGAGCCATGCGGCCACCAGCGCCGTTGGCAGCCGGGGGAGGAGGGGGAGGACGGGGAGCGACGACCGGGGGTGCGGGGGCTTGCTCTTCTACGTAGGCCGCGGGAACCCAGGCTTGGCCTTCGGGGGTCTTGGCTAACCACCAGCCTGTCATATGGTTGTTAGAGTTCGAGGTTACAAAAAGATGAGGGGATAAAACGTACCGTTGTTCTCTTTCTGGATAATCTCAATGATGTCTCCAGCCTTGATGGAAAGCTCGTTCTCCCTTGTGCCGGCAAAGTCATACAACACCTTGGCCATGATCTTGGGCTTAGCAGCCGGCGCTGGAGGAGGCGGCGGCGGAGGGCGCACAGTCGAGGTGCTGGACTGCTGCCTGGTATGGCTGGGAAGAGGCTTCGAAGCGGCTGGTGTAGAGGCTGCCCCAGGACGGGCGGGAACAGGTCTGCTAGAGGCTGCAGCGGCAGAAGAGGCAAGAGGGTTGGAAGCAGCGACAGAGGGACCGCCGCCGGGCCGGGGCTGAGCCGTGCGGTTGGGATTGGCATTTCTCGCCGGCCTTCCACCAGGACCACCGGGCTTGATAAGCTTGCCCTTGGTGATGGGCCTTGGAGGAACAGGCTTGGCCTTAGGCTGGGGCCTGGACACCGAGTTGGGGGGCTCGCCAGGCTGGGTATGGACAGTGCTGCTCTTGTAGAAGTCATGCGCAGTCGGCGCGTCCTTCAACACCTTGACCAACTGCATCTTCCCGGGCTTCTTGGCGTACTCAATGGCGTCAGCAATCTTAAGGTTGAAGCTACCGGGCATGACCCTCTTCATCTGCGTGAACATCTCGGTCTTGAGGACGCAGTTGAGTAGAGGATCGGCCTCTTGCTGTGACCCAACACCCAAGGAAAACCAGTCATCTCTGGCGGTAGACGCCCCAATGAACTTGATAGAAGCCAGTGGGAAAGCCTTCTCCGCCATAATCTGGACGTGGCCCTGGTTAAGAACCTGAGCGACAATGTAGAACTTGCTATTGGTGACGACCAAGATTCTGGGACTAGGCTTGCTGGAACGACCGAACTTGTGCTCGAGAAGCTCACCGCGGCAGGAGAAGACCGCCTTCTCGTTGCTGCCAATGCCGATGGCATTGCGAATCTGAGCACCAGGACCGGTGCTAGCGTTGATACCAAGGTAGTCACCCAAGAACCGACGAGAACCAAGGATAGACATTCTCCTGCGCTCCTTGCGGCCTCCCAGCACCTTGTGACCTTCATCACGGAGCTGCAGGTACTCAGCACCAACGCGCTTCTTCCTCCAGAAACGCTGGATGCGGATGGCAGCCTCTGCCCTGTATGCGAGGTACGCACGCCACATGCGCTGAATGCGCGTTGCCATGTTATGCCAGTACCTGTCTCTCATATGCTCAAGAGCGAACAAAGTCTCGGGCGACTTGATGAAGGCCTTGGTCACACCCAGTTGCCACTCCTCCTGCGGGATACTCGTGTCCTTGAGGATCTGCTTCGTCGCCGCCTCGTAGGAGCCCGTCCACGTATACTCACCAGCATATGATGTGGCAGGCGAGAGTAGGAAGAAACGGTCGACAAACTTCTCGAACGACTGACGGTATGCGAAACCGGCGCGGCGGATGCGAACGTTTTCTTGGAGACCAAGATACTTGACCTGATGGAGGACATTGGGCTCATTGTACTCTGTTGGCGACTTGTTCTCGTTGGGCTTGATGGTACGGATATACGAAGGCTGACACTTCATCAGAGTATCGACCAAGGCGTTCGCGGAAGTTCTGATTCTGTCACCGGCAGAAGGGGGCTGCCTGCGGTTGTCCACATCGACCTGCTGGGGGAACAGAGTATGGACGAACTGGTTTTGACTGGCCTGGAAGAGGTTCTGGACACCCTTGAGAAGCAAATCCTTGTTCTTGTCCGTGATACCGTCCACACTGTACGTGACATCACCGGCGTAGTGCTTGACAATAAAAGCACCCTGGCGGGGAGTAAGATGGGGGGTTCGACGCCATTGATGCTCTGCATGAAGGTGCGGTCGGAAGCCGCCGGATCAGCGTGAGCAGTCTTGGCGGCATCCTTCATAGCAGAGAAGATACCAGGGGGCCTGGTAGACTCGATCAAGTCGCACACAATCTTGTTGTCGAAATACTTGATGGGCGTCCACTTGATCTGTTCCCTCGCGTACTCATCCTGCTCGGCCTTGAGTGTCAACTGGATAAAGATTTGCTGGAGCTTTTCGTTCACGTAGTTGATGCAGAGCTGTTCGAAGCTGTTCTTCTCGAAAATCTCGAAACCGTAAATATCAAGGATACCAATCGAGTTCGTCGTGGCCTGGCGAGCCTTGAGGGACACGTTGATGCGCTCCACAATCCAATCGAACAAGTTGTAGTAGATGGCCATGGCCAAGGCATCTCTTGTCGCGGTAGCTTGGGGAACGTTGGCGGGAGACTCGATAACCTCACCGGGCCTTGGGGTCAAGATACGGATGGTGAGGGCGTGGACCAGCTGAGCGGGATCGACCTCGAGAAGGTACGCCAAGAAGTCGACCACAGACTGATCTGATACGGCAGCATATCCATCATCGCCCTCCTTGAACACCAAGTTTCCTGCCCAGAGAATAGCCGACAGCATTCGGAAGATGTTGTCCTGTTCCTGTTGCGAGAGACCGATAATCTTCATGGCATTCAGGGTGTCCTGGTACTCGGCCAAGTCATCGATACCGTCGACATCGAAGCACTTGGCCCTGCTGGTATAGAGGTATGTTTCGGGTGTCTGGATGCCGTACATTTGGCGGTACTGCGGGGACGCTCCTTTGGTGAACTGGTAAAAGATGTGGAAATTACGCTCGTTGACGATCTGGCCGACGACACGGCTCTTCTCGAGGAGGTAGTTGGTGATGTCGGCACCGATGGGCTCGCCCTGGGCGTTGAAGTGAATCTGAAGGTACTTGCCGAAGCGGGACGAGTTGTTATTTCGCAGCGTCTTGGCGTTACCGAAGGATTCTAGCAGAGGATTCGTCGCGAGCACCATGTCCTTGATCTGCTGAATATCGTTCGACCCGCCTCCGGACACATTGGCGATGTACTGCATGATGCGCTTGGCCGCCTCGGTCTTGCCGGCTCCGGACTCGCCCGAGATGATAACGCACTGGTTCTCGCTGTAGGCCTTCATGTTGTAGTAGGCAGATTCGGCAATGGCGAAGACGTGAGGGGGCATCTCCAGACGGTTCTTGCCCTTGTAGCTCTCGAGGACCTGGTCGGTGTAGATGCCCAAGTCGCGAAAGGGGTTAACGGAAACCAAGACATGGCCGATGTATGTGTAGATCTCCCGCCCTCGAAACGCTTCTTCAAGTTCTCGTTGATGGCCTCGTTGGAGACCTTGCTGAGTAGTGTCAGGTCTGATACACCGATCTCCTTCTTCTTGGTGGTGTCGAAAGTGGCCTTCTTGGGCTTAGCCGAGCTGGACTTGTCTCCGCCAGCAGAGGCCCCGGCCCGCGCGGCCTTGTCCTTTGCTCGCCTTGTGATACCCTGTGGGGATAGAAAGACATTGGTTAGTTACTGCTTGTTGAACTGTGTATGTTGTTGTTGTTGTTGTTGTTGTTGTTGTTGTTGTTGTTGTTGCTGTTGTGGTAATGCGCAGAGTGGCCAGGGCATTCCCTTGGTTCTTGGATTGGACTTGGGATTGGGGTCGGCTTGGGTCGGATGATGCAACTCACCATGGCGGGTGTTGTGTCTCTCTCTAGTCTCTCTTTGGTGTACTTTCAAGTTGCTGTCTCCTGAACTGCTATTACCAGCAATTCGCGCTTCCCACCAAGGCTGTCGTGGGTTATGTCTGTAACGATCGGATGTCCGCAATGACGGGTATTAGGCGCGAACCGGTAATAGCGCGCGGTATATTGGGATGAGGGGTGAGGTGGTGGTGGTGAGGGTGGTATGTCGAGGGAAGAGAGACTGAACTTGGAAGATGCTGGAGTTGAGTTGCCAGTGTTGCAATGAGGTGTCGCAGCAAGTGTCCAGCGCCCGTGATCGTTCCTTGGAGATGCGTAATCGCTGTGGTGCTCCGCCTCCCCTGGAAGGAGCAACGGGAGCGCCCAGCCGTCCTCTGTTGCCAATCCATGGTGCGCTGGTACCTGTACCCTTGAACACTGGAGTTGGTGCCTGACGCTGACCGGCCTTCTGTAGCGAGACACATGTACAGTGACGAAGGCCGCGAAACCCACCGCCTAAATTTAGGTGGAACCGGCCGCTCGTTGGTCCCATCAAAGCGATCCACTTGGGTTGACGGGTCTTCCCCGCCAGTCGACACGATGAAATGGAAGAAAGGAGCCAATCAGAATAGCTCCCCTTACCTCACAGCCACATTTACTGGCATTCAAGCCACGGACTTACTGGCCTTGGAAGGCGAAAGCCACGCAAGCCCATGATCCGAGTTGTCCGTGTGCCTTCTTGGCTGCTATAGTTCAGAAGCTCTTCAACTCGTTCAACTCAAACAAGTTTGACTTGCCATGGCACCAACTTTACACCATCTTGAGTCCCGAGCTCAACTCCTGCAAACGGGAATAGCCTCATCAGCCTTTACAAACCCATTGTCGGAATGTTGACTCTGTGGCTCATTCTCTACTGGGTTCTGACCCTCAATGGCGACTCGAGGAGATTTGTTCTTCATTTAACTCGACAGGCCATCATGGACATGTCATCTTATCCGCTTCAAATTTCCGGACAGTCATTTGCAATATCAACTGCCTCCTTCCCGTCATGGAATGAAGAACTGAGGTGACCAGAAATCAAACCTCAAAGAACGACCAAAGAGCCTTTCTGGAAGAGAACCTAGCTTCTTTATATACTCATTGAGGGCCTTTGAAGGTTGGTTCTTGTGGCACACATGTTTCCTTCTCGACACCAGGAATGCCAATGTTTCGAGAGATAATCGTACGATTTTCCCCACGTTCGGCTGTACCCTGATCGCCTTTTGTCCACCAAGGCCTCTTCGATTCACACATGTTGCTCAACCGCCTCATGGTGGTGACAAGGTTTGGATCGAATCGGCCTTCTTCCTTGCATGGCCCCCGACCCACGGTATCAACCTTCTTTTTGACTATTGGTTTTTTTTCGCCTTTGTTTGAATTCTTACCTGTTTTCACCACGGTGCTTCCCTTGAAGATGCTTCCATGAGTGGCTTGAACGGCTGGGCAGCTCAACCATGTTTAAGACACTCGCAAATTCCTTCTCAAGCTCAGCCAAGGTAATACGTCCAACTCTCCTGACAAGCAATAAGAGCAACCTTTAAGCTCCTGTCGAAATTGGTTTCCTTGGAGAGCACAGCACCAACCGCTCCTCGTTTCACTAGACGTTCAAAGTCACCCTGAGGGGATTCGGAACCTCACTCTTCCAGTCTTCCTTGGCCCCCCCTGTCGACACTCAAACGAAACCAATGGATGACACCTTACCCAAAGTTGGTCGATCATTGACTCTTCCAGCTTCTGGCTGCCAAATCTGTTGCATGTCGGCTTTCCTAGTTGAGCCTCAGGGAGCCTCAAGCCTAGGATACGTTGTATCGAGGAAGCTCTGACAGCTCGCGCCCAGGTTACGGATCAAAGTTAAACTCCAAGATGGCATTCTGAAGTTGCCCACCAAGTTATTACCCCGGTAAGACATGCCGGCTCGGACTTTTACTCAGGTTGTCTTGATGTTTCAGCCTAAGAAACATTTTATGACAAAGCACTTTTAGGCGACCATGCTCAACTGCGGTGGATGGCATTGTGCCCTTTGCCCTGGCTATCTCAGCATCAGTGTAGCTTCAGTTGGCGCATTTCATACTTCGAGATTTCATCGAGAGGCCTTGTGTGTTTCAAATCACAAGTCCAAAGCAAATCGTCACAGCTCAGCGACACCTCTCAGTGAGTTGTTAACTCGAAAATATGGCAGTAAACTTCAGACTTGAATTGGACCACATCGCCGGACTCAAGGACTCTCCGCGCCGCTGAGAGGAACAATATCTCGCAGGGCCGATATAGAGTTTGGGATATCAGCCCACCACATCATCCCATGAGCCCATGATGGCTATGCATAGCAACGGCCAAGGAGTGATAGCGAGTATGCTTAAACATATCACGGCGTAGTAGGTCAAGTCCAAGATGCGGTCATCTCACATTGACATGTTACCGCACCTTCTCTTGTCCCTCGGGTCGGTTGCAGGAACTCGGAGTGCCCAGAGATGGATATCTGCGGCGACAAGCACAAGAGCTAACCGATCTAGTCCTGAACTGGATTAGATATTGTCACCTTCCCAGGCAATTGTGAGACGTTATTGGACGAACAGAAGCTCCAAGCCATGAGTTCTCCTGCAGGGCGCCATCCTTCTCTGGTGTCTAGCGCCGCCGAGAGCATGTCACTGGGGATTTTGAAGGACTGCACAAAGGAGCAGAGACAATTCGGCCTGTTCGAGACGAGCGTCCCCCCTGTCCGTAACCCAACCGTTAAGCGCCGGGACGATATGGGTGTGACAGCATTTCCTGATTGGGCCTACCTCTTCACTCTTGGTATTCTTGGTATTCTGGGCCCTGAGGCGATTTTTGTTTATCCTTTTCAGATCTCTCTTTCCCTTTTCCTCTCCCGTTGCTTCTTGCCTCTTCAAGCTTCATTTTCAGCAAGATGATGAACAAACACAATAACACCATTGCCACCATCATCAGAAGCTAACAAATAGAGCCGACAATACCACGCTGCTTAAGGGTTCGCTACCACGCTATACCCAACCCCTGTCACAGTCGAAACATTGAGGTCGCCTTCCGCAACCCCCTCGTCAAAGCGTCTCTAACAGCTTTCGTCTCAACTTCTCCCCACGGTCTGTCGCAAAGACCTTGTCCATCTGATATCAGTCAACACCCAGCGGGAATCTGATACACCCATCCTGGATTTCGAAACCCGACTATACGGTGACACCAAGTTATTCGGTTACCATCCAGCATAATAAAAAGCTACTTTACCTGTTCAGCAAGGAAGCTCGGGTTGTCCTACTGCCGTGTTCCCGGTCTGACCATCGACCCCGGACAATAACATCACAACTACAGCCATCAACAATTTTATCGATCGACGGAACTCTGTGGGCAGCCGACAAGCTATCCCACTCACTCAAAGTCTTGGCTCCCATCAACCATTCCCTTCTTGAGGTTGGGCTTCCCCCGCGTATACTTCGTGTCGTGGTTCCTACCTCATCTCTCTTTCTTCTCCTCACTTTGTGAGGTAACACGGACTCTCTTTTTCCTTGAGCCTTACGGTTACTCCACCATTCCATTCTCTTTAGCTGCTGGCTCAGACCACTCTTTGCTTTCTATTCTTACACTGGTGTTTGTCTGTCTTTGCCGGGTTCACCGTGCTCCATCTCCACCGACCTGGTCCACCGAGCCACATATCGATATCAACTTGATTGGGAGGACGGAATAATTTTTGGATATCAGAGTGTCGGGAAAGGGAGATATACAGTCATTACGACGTCGATTCAACACGTTTTCGATACGACAAGCCTCACACCGAGTGTTCACAAGTCGCGGGTCGACAATTCATCAACTGCCGGAACCGAATTATATCATTGAGTACGGGTTAAACGGAGGAGGAATTCAGCGGTCGCCAACATGAGTTTCTTCGTGCTGCTTAAGAAGCAGTTTACGCCAACGAAGCTGCTCTTCCATGTTCTGTTTTGGGGGTTTCACTGGGGAATCTTCGCTTATGGATGGTACGTTTTGATATTCTTAGTCGGTGGTCGAACGGGCTTGGGACTTGTTGAGCCAAAAAAAAACCTGACTGACACGACCATCTACAGGTGGAAGCAAGCCTCTGATGCCCGTCTAGCGGGTCTAAACACATTACAGTACTCAGTCTGGTTCTCTCGAGGTGCTGGTCTAGTATTGAGTGTAGATGGCATGCTCATCCTCTTACCGGTCTGCAGAACGATTATGAGGTTTATCCGACCCAAGATCAGATTTCTACCGCTTGATGAGAATATCTGGATGCACAGGCAGATTGCTTACTCTATGCTTCTGTTTACCATCATCCATACCGCATCTCACTACGTAAAGTGAGTATCACCCGCAAACCACTGGGAAATACCAAGACACTGCTAACCTGGCAACAGCTTCTTCAACGTCGAGAAGACCCAGATTCGCCCCGTTTCGGCCGTTCAGATTCACTACGCCCAGCCTGGCGGTATCACCGGCCATGTGATGCTCCTTTGCATGCTCCTAATGTACACTACAGCCCACCATCGTATCAGACAGCAATCCTTCGAAACGTTCTGGTACACCCACCACCTCTTCATCCCATTCTTCCTCGCCCTGTACACCCACACAGTCGGCTGCTTCGTCCGCGACACTGCCGAAGGTTTCTCACCCTTTGCCGGCGAGCAGTACTGGGAGCACTGCATCGGCTACCTCGGCTGGCGCTGGGAGCTCTGGACGGGCGGCTTCTACCTGCTCGAGCGCCTCTACCGCGAGATCCGCGCCATCCGCGAGACCAAGATCACCCGCGTGGTCCGCCACCCCTACGACGTGGTCGAGATCCAATTCCACAAGCCCTCGTTCAAGTACAAGGCCGGCCAGTGGCTCTTTTTGCAGATGCCCCAAGTCTCCAAGTACCAGTGGCACCCCTTCACCATCACCTCGTGCCCCTACGACCCTTACGTCTCCGTGCACATCCGCCAGGTCGGTGACTTCACCAAGGAGCTCGCCAACTCCGTCGGCGCTGGCCCCGCCCAGGCTAAGCTCTATGACGGCGTCGACCCCAACGGCATGTACGAAGTCGCTCTAATGAACGGCGACCACCTCCCTCCCCTCCGCATCGACGGGCCCTACGGTGCCCCGGCCGAAGACGTCTTCGAGAACGAGATTGCCGTGCTCATCGGCACCGGCATCGGCGTCACCCCCTGGGCCTCCATCCTCAAGAACATCTGGCACTTGCGCAACGGGCCCAACCCACCCACTCGCTTGCGCCGTGTCGAGTTCATCTGGGTGTGCAAGGACACGTCGTCGTTCGAGTGGTTCCAGATCCTTTTGTCGTCTCTCGAACAACAGTCAAGCGAAGCGGCTAGGATCCCCGGCTCAAGCGGGATCGAGTTCCTCAAGATTCACACGTACCTCACCCAGAAGCTGGACATGGATACCACGCAGAACATTGTGCTGAATAGTGTCGGTGCCGACGTGGATCCGCTGACGGAGCTCAAGGCGAGGACGAACTTTGGAAGACCTAACTTCCAGAGGTTCTTTGAGAGCATGCGGAATGGTATCCTGGACAGGACGTACCTGAATGGCCTGGAGGGCAACATGCGGACGACGGTGGGAGTGTATTTCTGTGGGCCTAGTGCTGCTGGTATGTCTTTTTCCATGTCCCCTTTTAAACCTTCTGAGATTGATTTACTGACATCTGGATACAAACAGCCCGTGATATCAAGAAGGCGGCCAAGGCGGCGACGACTCGTGAGGTCGATTTCAGGTTTTGGAAGGAACACTTTTAAGTTATACTTGGCTTATAACTATACCCATGTACATGTATCTACTTTTTGGATCGATACCTACGAAGCTCCCATTTTGGCTTTGGTTGTGTGGTTGTCGTGGAGTGTTGGGATAGCCTTTTTGCATAGCATTATTATTGGTGTTGTTACCGACGCTCCATACTCACAACCTGCCTGGAGTTTATATCATGAGAATATCCGTGTGTCTTGATGGTCATGTCGCTGGCTAAGACCACATATAGCTAGCTAGGCATGACCCAAATGGTACTAGTATGTAATTCCTGACGAAACGTGATTCCAATCTTCAAGGTGATTACATCTCTCCTTACAATGACCGTAATGTTTACAGGCATCCTCAAAGAAACATCAAGGTATAAGGAGGTGGCTATGAGCTGCGTGGCTTCCACCCGTGGTGGCTTCGATGTTGTTAGTCTTAAAGGGCTATTCCCGCACAATCACTAACAACTGGTGGGGTAAACTCGAAACTCGACTGGCGGTGACAAAAGCTGGTGGGGTTCATCCAATGAATCGGTCCCTGTTTCAGGGCCCCGCCATTCTGGAACCGTCCGAGTGCACAGCGGGTCGAAACCAGGTCCCAGTGGCAGCAGCTGCATCCCGTCTCGTGTTTGGGGTCTTGGGCCTTGATCTCCAGTCGTTTCTTTCAGCTTCCCGTCAGCTCGTATTGTCTCCTCTTTCGTCCCACGGCACTTCCTCTCTCGGAATCTGTTTATAGCTGAAGCAGCGCCTCTTTTTCCAATTCCAATTTGAATATAACATTTCTTCCTTGCCACTTCATTCCCAGCTCTCTCAACCATCTTACAAGCTGCTATAGCACCAGTTCCAACCCGAATCGGTTGCCCGGCTACACCCATACCACGACTGCCCCTCCATCGCGACATCGAGACCTTCCGTCCCATCGATCGCATTCCTCGCTTTATACTATATACCCAACCATAACTAATACCGCCTAATCAATGACTGTCGACTCAGTAGTCCCGACCCCGGAGCAGGTCTCCGAGCTCAAGGACAAGTACACCAACGCCGGTCAGGGCCAGGTGTTCACCTTCTACGACTCCCTTTCGAGCGACGAACAGGCACAGCTCTACAAGCAGCTTTCCGGCTTCGATCCCCTCTACATCAACAAAATCACTGCCAAGGCGCTCACTCCCAATCTACCGTGAGAGCGAAAAGCCCACCCTCGAGCCATTGCCCGAGTCTGCCACGGCCAGTATTCTGGACTCCGACAAGAAGTCTCAGGAAGAATGGTGGAACCGCGGCCTACAGCTGATTGCTGACAACAAGGTTGCTGTTGTCCTCATGGCTGGCGGTCAGGGCACCCGTCTTGGCAGCTCTGCCCCCAAGGGCTGCTTCGACATCGGCCTGCCCTCCCACAAGTCTCTGTTCCAGATCCAGGCCGAAAGAATTGCGAGACTTCAGCTACTGGCTTCGAAGGTCCGCCAGCAGACCGGCTCCCCCGGTGGTGCCATGGTACGTATGACGTCCGGCCCTACTCGCAAGGCCACCGAGGACTTCTTCAAGAGCCACAACTACTTCGGCCTCAACTCCGAGCAGGTCATCATCTTCGAGCAGGGTGTGCTTCCCTGCATATCCAACGACGGCAAGATCCTTCTTGAGACCAAGTCCAGAGTCGCTGTTGCTCCCGATGGCAACGGCGGCATCTACAACGCTTTGGTTGACGCCAAGGTCCTCGATGACATGGCCCGCCGCGGAATCGAGCACGTCCACGCCTACTGCGTAGACAACTGTCTCGTCAAGGTTGCGGATCCCGTCTTCATCGGCTACTGCGCTTCCCAGGACGTCGATATCGGTACCAAGGTAGTGCGCAAGCGCAACGCTACCGAGCCTGTGGGCCTTATCCTCACCAAGAACGGCAAGCCTGACGTCGTCGAGTACAGCGAGATCGACGACGCGGTTGCTGCCGAGGAGGACCCTGCGCACCCCGGCGTTCTCAGGTTCCGTGCCGCCAACATTGTCAACCACTACTATTCGTTCCGCTTCCTGAAGTCAATTCCCGAGTGGGCGGGCAACCTGCCCCATCACATTGCCCGCAAGAAGATCCCCTATGCGAATCTGGAGTCGGGCAACACTGTCAAGCCTGAGAAGCCCAACGGCATCAAGCTTGAGCAGTTCGTTTTCGACGTCTTCCCCATGATCGAGCTTTCCAAGTTCGCTTGCATGGAGGTTAAGCGCGAGGATGAGTTCAGCCCGCTCAAGAACGCCAGGGGAACGGGCGAGGACGATCCCGATACCAGCAGACACGATATCATGGCTCAGGGCCGGAGATGGTTGGAGGCGGCTGGTGCCAAGTTCGCCGAAGGCGTGGAGGGCGTGGAGGTCAGCCCTCTAGTCAGCTACGTAAGTCTTGACTCTGTCTACTTTATTCCCTTCTTTTCCTTTCTCTCTTACCACTTTCCTACACATCTCTCTGGAATACCTTTTACTAACTTCTGTTCTCTTCAACTTTTTAGGGCGGCGAAAGCCTCCACATGCACGCCGCGAAGGAGGCGATCACGGTTGACCGTATTGAATAGAGTCCCCTGCAGCCCCGCGGACTCCCGCCTTCCACTCTTGACGCTCCCCTATACTACCCACTCCTATTCAGACCCAGTCCCTGGGCCTGGCCCCATTCAGTTGTTCCTCATCCCGTGGTTCACGTGTACAGATGTCTTCCCGGTATGGCTTGGCCCCACTCATATATCACCTCTACCTCCGTAGCCCAATACGAGCAGATTCCTGGCCTCTACAACGACATCAACATGCAGAACTTGAGAAATTCTGGACCACCTCAGGAAAGACCGGAGGAGGCTGAGGCTGAGGCTGAGGCTGAGGAAGAAGAGCAGCAGGGACCGCAAGCAAAAAAGCAGAAACTCAAGGAGAAGGCAGAGCCTCCTAAACCAGAGCTGGGACCTGTTCAGACGTGGATGATCAGCAAGGGGGTTTCATTGCCTCAGCCGATAACGTGCTTTGGCGGATGGATGAAGGAACAGAGCAGCGGTTAGCGGTTAGAGGTAGGCTGGGTTCGCTACTTACACTACAAAAACAAAAACCACTTTTTGTGCTTTTTTTTAAGAAAAAAAAACAAAACTTGACGTATCATTTCGTTTGGGTAGTTATTTACTGTTACTTAGGACAGCGGAAAGGGAATAAGATAGCGAGCGAGCGAGCTTGATGGCGTGAATCATAAATTACCTTGCAATTATTTCCATGACCTTGATCATGACAATTTGGCCTTACCTACATGATGGCGGCAGTAAGTCTAGAGGGTTAGTGTATAAGCATTAATTATCCTTCACAAGTGGAAGCCCCAAGGCATTGGGATCTTAAATAAGGGGTGGAAAGGAAAGAAGGCAAAGAGCGAGAAGAGTCTCTGGAAAACCAAAGAAGAAGAAAAGGAACATACAATACGAGGAATTCACTCACCGTGCCTGGGCTAAATATTAGACTCAGTAGTGTAGTCAGGCTGAGAGGCGATTAGTATAGGTAGCTTAGGAGGTTAGCTATCTCTATCTGTATGAGAGCGGACATGGTCCCGAGTTTCTTCTTTGTTTTTTTAAAGTTTTTTCTGGTTTTCTTTCCTTTTACTAGGCTATGTTCGTATATACATGAACTTGTTTTTGTTTGTCCAAGGCCGTCTCTTACATAACATAGTAGTACCTAGAACAAATAGACTCTTTTTATGGTTAAATGGATGGATGAACACATGCTCTCGGGCATTTTCCTTTTCTTTTCTTTTTTTTTTTTTTTTTTTTTTTTCGTCTTTGAACTAGTAGACCTAGCTGGGAAATAGGGAAGGAGCGATGGTGGCCCTCTTTTCAGGTAAATAGGTAGGTAGGTACAGGCGTTCACGAGGTTTTCTTCAATGCCTAGCAGGTATACTACTACGCTCGCTACTACCAGGAAGTGAGAAGACTTGGTCTCATAGTTGCCTGCTTAGTGCTTAGTACAAACCAAACAGGAAGATATCCTTTTGAGAGCAAAGGAACACACAGGTTTGTGAGAAGCGAGGCTGTGAGCATAGGCACGGGAACGCACGAGCAACAGATTATTGAAATGCTAGTAATGATAAATAATATTCTCTCTTTCCCAATTGTGGCTAAACTTCAACTTTGACGAATTTCGCTATTTACCACTGTTCTGCTTAAGCCAGTGTTTTTTTTTCTCTCCAACTCTAGTTTAAGTAAGAAACATAGAAACGTAGAAAGCGGAGAGCCTCAAAAAGCAAACGATGACGACGATGACGACGACGGCGGCGGTGGCGGCCCGCGAGGAAGGAAGAAAAGCTTCGGAAAATGCAGTTTCGATGTGATGTGATGTGATTTGATGTGATGTGTGACAGACAACAACTAGGATGAACAAAATATGTGATGATGATGATAAAAGCAACTCCGCGCTCGCGCAAACCGCTCATCTTTGCTCTGCTTGCTACTGCCTTAGCCAGCCACCCTTTCCTTATTTTGTTATATATGTACGGTGTGTTGTTGTAGTGGCAGTTTTGTTCCGATTCGATCCCCTCTTTCCTATCTTCCATTCGATTCCCCTTCGTAAAGCATTTGTGCTTTTACCTCTTACAACTCTAGAACCAGCTTCCGCTCGATCATGACGACTTTTTAGGATGATTAATCATTTGATGGCGAAGTGGGAGAGCTAGTGGTTTCTGTTAGCGAGGCTGTCTCGTGTCAAGCAGCAAACCGAACCGTAACTTACTATGAATCCCCGTTGCCCCCCGAGTTATTACGTCCCGGTGTCCGCGGCGAGTACTGCGGCGACGTCGGCGAATAACCCGTTGGGCTATTAGGGGACAGCTGCTGACCAGGCGACCGCTGGAACGACGGGCTTGTGGGCGAGTAAGCGTCCGGCGATGTTGGCGACCAGGTAGGCGAAGCCGGAGAGTAGCTTGGCGAGGTAGCCTGGAAAGCGGGCGAGGCCGGGCTGTAGCTCGGACTCGTGGGGGAATATGACGGCGACGTCGGGGAGAATTGTTGGGCGGGGGAGGTGGGCGAGTACCGGGCGGCAGCTGGCGATGCTGGCGAGTAACTCGGGGAGGTGGGGCTGTAGCTCGGACTGGTCGGGCTTCCAGGGCGCAGCATCGGCGAAGTTGGCGAGAACGACGGCGACGATGGGCTGAACTGTGGGCTGGAAGCGAACCGACCAGAAGAGTCGAGGAGAGGTGAGCTGGGCGAGTAGCCAGCCGCGGGCGACGATGGCGAGTAACCGCCATAGCTGAATGGCGACGTGGGTGTGAAGGGGCTGGTTGCCCGAGGGCTGGTAGCCGAAGAGTAGGAGGTACCAGAACCGTATCCGCTAACGCCACCGTAGTCGGTGCCGAAGCCGTTGTTCGTCGGGCTGTCCGACCCAGCGCCCTGGATAGGAGAGAAGTTGCCCATAGTAGGGGAATAGCTTCCAAGGAACCCACTGTCAGCCATAGGAGAGCCCGTGTCATAAGGCGTGGCAGCACCATCCAGCTGGCTGCCCTTCACAGTCATGCCCGGCATGAGACCCATGCGAGAGTTGTCAGAGATGACGGTCTCCAGCATCTTGGGATCAAGGAGCACGTCAAAGGCACCAGTACCCATGGGAGCCATCTGGCCCAACATGACGTTCTCAGAGATACCACGGCAGTCATCAAGCTCACCGACGGCGGCAGCTTCCAGGAGAATTTCGACAGTCTCCTCGAAAGAGCAACGCATGAGAGCACCAGTATCAGCACGGTTGATACCGTGACGTGTGACGGCGGCGATACTGCCTCTGTATGTCATGACATCACAAAGAAGCGCCAAATGGCGATGGTTGACGTACGAACCGTCGAAAGCCAACACAGCCGTCAACTCGTGCATCAGAGCTGCGCGAGCTCCCTCGATACCGAAGACGTCGACAACCTGCCACAAGTCGTTGGTGGTGGTGCGCTTGGTATCAACACCCTCGACAGTCAAGACCTCACGAAGCGAGGTACCCTGTGTATCAAGGTACCACTCCTGGCAGTCGTCATCTACCTTGGAGTGCTTCATGGAGCCATCCTTGGCCTCGATCAGCTTAACACCCTTGTTCAAGAAGGCACGCTCAATGCCCTCGACACCACGAAGTGTGCAGCCGTCAAGAAGATGCTTCTCGAGACGCTTGAGCATGACATCGTCTTCAATGATCTTGTTACCATCTTCGTCCTTGTCGTCGTCCGCCTTGATGACACGGATACGGATGACCATCTCTTCAGCGTTGTTGTCCGAGAAGACAACGGCAACATCCTTCTTGTAAACCTCCTTGATACGATGGGCAACATCCTCAACACGGAGACCCTTATCAAGCATCTTCTGGCGATCGAGAGTGATTCTCAGAAGCCAACGAGACTGGTTCTCAATTGGATCTGGCTCGTCGCCGCTCTGATCGGGAATAAGGAAGTAAGATTCAACCAAATCGTAATCCTCGGGGATGTTGGTCGATTGGATATCAGGATCGTAGTAGATTTCAGTGACAGCGGTAACGGAGCGAAGACTCGTGTGCTCTACAGCACTGCGCATCTTCTTGGCCTCCTCCTGGGTGGCAGCATTGGAGTCGAGGTACACCATCATGGAGGGGGTCTTGATGTTGGATGCGACGTTGAGAATTTCCTTTAGACGCGGCACACCAAGGGTGACGTTCTTGGAGGACACACCGGCGAAATGGAAAGTGTTGAGCGTCATCTGGGTAGCGGGTTCACCGATAGACTGAGCAGCCAACACACCAACCATTTCACCAGGAGAAACCATCGACCTCGACCAACGGTTCTCGAGCTCGCCAAGAATGTGGTTGAAAGCCAGCTTGTTGATCCTGTCCTGGACAGCAAGACGCTTGAACGCCAAGCGAGACCGAAGCTGTGCCTTGAAGAGGATCGTGGCGTTGTAGTCAGCTTCCTTCGAGATAGGATCGTCGCCTCGGACAACAATCATGCGATCAAGCATGGCCTTGACGAGAGGAATGACATCCTTAGGGGTAAGGTCACTGCGAGCAGTCTCGTCCACCTTGAACAGCTTCTTGGCGGTGTCAATGATACGGATGATGTTGAGCGGAAGCTGCATCTTGGTGTCATTGTTGCCTTTCCTGCGCTGGATGACGCGAAGCATCTGGCGATCGACCGTAAGCTGTTCATACTCCTGGTCGAGAAGCTCCTGGACAGTGGGGTCGCTGGTGATCTCCTTTCCGTATTCCAACGCCTCAAGCTCGCCCGAGGAAACCTCCTCGTCCATGACATCAAGGCGATACCGCTTGTCGAAAGCCTTGTTGGAGATCGTGAAGTGATCGACAGACTGGTTTTCGATGGCAATACCATCAAGGCCATCTTCACCGTAGACGAACTGGATGATATCACCCAGCGAATTACGGACGGTACCGTCGTACTGAGCAGCGGAATCTTCGAGGGCCTTGACCAAACGACGCTGGATGTAACCGGTTTCGGCAGTCTTGACAGCGGTATCGATCAAACCTTCTCTACCAGCCATGGCATGGAAGAAGAACTCTGAAGGAGTGAGACCACGGAGGTACGAGTTCTCGACGAAACCACGGGCTTCGGGCGAGTAATCGTCCTTTGTGAAATGTGGCAGGGTACGGTACTTGAAGCCGAAAGGAATACGCTTGCCTTCAACAATCTGCTGACCGACCAAGGCAGTCATCTGAGAAATGTTGATGGAAGAACCCTTGGAACCAGACAGAGCCATGGTTACGGCGTTGTTAAGATCCTTCAAACTGCCCTCAGTGGTAGTACCGGCCTTGTCACGGGCCGTGTTGAGAGCCTTGGAGACCTTGTTTTCGAAAGTCTCACGGATGTTCATACCGGGCAATGGCTCAAGCTCGTTGTTGGTAGCCTGGTCTGTGAGCATCTTGACTTCCGCCTTGGCATCGTCGATGTGAGTCTGGACCTTGGCGATGGTCGCAGCATCAGGAATGGTGTCACCAATACCGATGCTGTGACCGTTGTGAAGGAGCCAGTAGTTGACGACTCTCTGGCAGCCGTTGAGGAAATCCATAGCACCGCTAGGACCCAACTCGTTGTAGCAGAGATGGATGATACCGCCACTAGCAGCACCCACAATCTTCTTGGTCATCAAGCCGAAAATCACCTCACCTTGCTGGATCAAAATACCCTTGTCCTTAAGAGGACACTCGCCATCATCCTCGTCGAGGTTCTTGAGGTTGATGATCTTGGGAATAACCATGCTGATGATCTGCTTACCAGTCCAGCGAGGACGAGGCTTGAGGATCGCAGGGATGGGAATGATGCCGTCCCACTCGGGGACCCAGAGCATGACGTTCATGACCTCCTCCTTCGTAAGGAAGACATCACGACGACAAAGCTTGTAAGCACCAGCCAAAGTGTCCTGCACGATACCCATGAGCGGGCCGTTACGCTGCGGGGAGACGATGTTGAGAGGAACCATGCAGAGCTCCTTGACTTCAGCGCGTGTTTCTTCGGTTTGAGGAACGTGAAGGTTCATTTCATCACCGTCGAAATCGGCGTTGTATGGAGATGTGACGGAAAGGTTAAGTCTGAAGGTCGAGTAGGGCATGACCTTGACACGATGACCCATCATGGATTCTTTGTGCAAAGAGGGCTGACGGTTGAAGATGATGTAATCACCATCGATAAGATGGCGCTCAACCTTCCAGCCATATTCCAGCTGCAGCGGGCCTGTCCGCCTCTGATGGCGAAGATCAACACGGCTGCCATCGGAGCGGATAACGTACTTGGCACCCGGGTGCTCGTTAGGGCCGTTTTGAACGTACTGGGTGAGCTTGCCGATGTTGTAAGGGGTGACGGTCTCGGGATAAGTGAGGGTGCGGGCGATACTACGGGGCACACCGACCTCATCCAGCGAGATGTTGGCATCACCTGTGATAACTGTACGGGCAGAGAAGTCGACACGCTTACCCATCAAGTTACCACGTAGACGACCTTCCTTGCCCTTGAGACGGGCACGGATGGCCTTGACAGGACGACCACTCTTTTGCAAGGCTTGTGGCTGACCAGCAATATCGTTGTCCATGTAGGTGGCAACGTGGTACTGAAGGAGGCCCTCAAAATCATGGATGATGTGAGCCGGAGAACCCTCCTGAATGGCCTGTCGAACGTTGCCGTTCGCTCGAATGATATCGCCGAGCTTGTAGGTCAAATCGTCTTCGTTCCGGAGACCGGTGCCGGTACCGTCCATGGAAATGCTGGGACGGACTGGAGGTGGCGGAACGGGCAGAACGGTGACAATCATCCACTCAGGGCGAGCTTGAGAAATGTTGACACCGATGTCGATCATGTCAGACTCGGACATGTTGTGCAGGATGGTGAGCGCCATCTCGGGAGTGATGATCTTCTTCTCCTTGGTCTTGACGCCCTCCTCATCCTTGGTATCGAACTGGGCGTAGAGGGTGAGGGCCTGCTGGCGGACGGTGGGGTGGTCGTTGCCGCAGCCGCCGTGGCCAGGTAGCTCGCCCTTGGCGTCGGCGAGCGGGTTGAATTCATCATCGTCGCTCTTCTTGATAACCTCGTTGTCACATCTCCTCTTCTTCTTGCACACAGCCCATACTCGGTTGAAGCGGACCTTGGGATCGCGGATCTTCATGGCGGCCGCGAACTCTTTGTCATTCTACAGAAGGAGGTTAGCGTCCGCAAATCAAAACTACCCGGAAGGATAGGTTGCACGAACTCTGTCAGCAAGAACCTTGCTGCAGTTGTGGCAGACAATCTCCAATATCTTCTTGACACGCTTGATGAAGCCTGGATGGTAGACGGGTCGGGCCAGCTCGATGTGACCGAAATGGCCGGGGCACTCGGACATGTTCTCGGTACATGTTTTGCACTTGAACTGACGATCTACGGAGCCCAGGAGAGGGTCGTTGAGACCGCCGTCGCGGGGTTTCGTCCTGGTCTCGTCCATGGTCTCTGGGTAGACGATGTGGGCCACACTCATGCTCTTGATCTCCTCGGGCGACAGCAGACCAAACTGGATTTCCTTGACGGTCCGCAAGGGCGCACTCGAGTGCGCAAAGTATAGGTTCGCCATCTTGGAGGACCTTTCGATGCTCTACAGTCCTGAAAAATCGGGGTGCTCGTTGTCCAAAAGATGAAGGGTTTGTCAATCCGAGACTGAAATGACGGTGAGACGCGAGGGCCGTCAATCAAAGTGGCGTCGTGGTCGTCTCCCAGTGCCGCGCGCGAATCGAGGGGCGAAGGTGAATAAGACGAGTGAAAAAAAGGAAATTAGTATTCTCTAAAAGACGGAAAGCGCGAGACCTCGATGCACTTGGTGGGCTCGAGATGGCGTGGTGGTGTTTGTTGATGGAATCGAAAGTCCCTGTTCCTCCACTGCGTTGTCCAGGCCAACGGGCCCCCGAAAGGAGCTAACTAGTCCGCCGTGCACGCTGTCGGCCCCGCCAGTATCGCGTGTGGTCGGAAAAGAAAAGGAATCGGTTGATTACGCGAATGATCGCGGTCGGCACAGTCGATTAAAAGTCGTCGGAATCGTGGTGGTGGACGACCAAGAAAATCCGACGATGTGGACGCGCTTTGCGAAGATCGGGAATTTTGGAAGGGGTGTGGTGTTGTTTGAGGTATGGAGCAGGAAGGAAGGCGGCAGACCTCCACGGTGGTTGAAAAGTTCTACCGCCCTCGTCCGCCCAGCCAGAGACCGACGCGGGACCAAGAGGCGAGAGGGCACTAGCCCCGATGCGGTAAGGGACCCACTTGTGGCACTGGGTGACAAAGCACCAAGAGGCTCTGAGCAGCGGCCAGGCAGGGTGAAGGGTGGTGAGGAGTACTTGAAGGTACATTTACACCAAGACAGAGCTCAACCTGAAAGATCGATAAATGGCTGGTGACCGGCAGACACATGAAGTAGCTCACAGGTACCACCTTAACCCCCATTCCAGGCCTCCCCTGTGACTCAAGGGGTGCCACTGCCTGAAGTCTGGAAACCTGAACTGGAAACTGGAAACGTTGCTCGCTCCCTCGCTCGGACACGACTGCCGCAGAACCGCATCACTGATCCATTCCAGGTTCAGTTCAGCCTCACCCGCTCCAACTTTCTTCGGCTCACCATTGTCCTACAGATGAACACTGACAGGAGGGGTTTGTGCCCGCGCCCGCTTTTGGTGCCTGGCATATGATTTTGATCCGATCTCTTGTTCTCTAAAGTTACCAAGATACCTTAGAAGAAGCCCACCCGCCCGCGCGGTTGTTGTTACTGTCACGGTTACCTACCCCAACAATTCTCACAGGCTACGAATACGCTACGGTTACAATCAACAGCCGGCCGGCAATGAATTGGACGACAGCGACTCCGACTCTGGACGAGACGAGGAGATCCAACCTCAATCCCCACCATGCTGCGACCCATTCGGTTAAATGCTATGGATGCCATGGTTGCTCTTGTCGCCGAACTTGGAACAGCCATGCTGACTGTTCTCTCCAATTGCGTCATTCGGATGAAAATAAACTCGAGACATCACACGAAATCATCCAATGTGAATCGTGGACATTTTGGTGCGCTGCACACACAGCATGGAAGTCTATCATTGTTTTGATATCTTCGAAATCTGCACGTTTCAGAACGAACCACTAGTTGCGCTACATGCTACCAAAGTCCGTCTAAACTCTAAGCTAGCTCCCTGACCAATTACTAAAATCCATGGGTATCTTGAACTTTCCATGTTTCATTGCCTCGTCTTCCATGCCCTCTCCTCTCCTCACCTCTTCCTCGTCCGAGTCCTTTGCGTGACCGTCTTCTTGGCAGGCGGTTTCTCTGCTACAGATCCACCGTCGTCTTGATCGTCAGGGCTCTTACGCCTGAGCGTCCCCAATCCCACGTTCACAAACTCTTCTTCGCTGTCCGACTCCCCGAGGTTGAAAAGCACCGGCATCCTGAATGGTGCCACGTCGCCGCCAGCCCCCGCATCCCCCAACACATCGACATCCTCGTCTTCGGCGTCGAGCCGTCGCTTCTGGATCTCTTCGTGCGGGTGGATATCGAATTCGTCCTCCTTCTCAATGTACTCGACGTTCTCCTCGACCTCGACGAAATCCGGCGCCAGCGCCGACCACCGCTGTGGACTTGTTACCGACCAGATGTTTATCCTCCCCGTTTCCAGACCGCATGCTGCTAGCAAGGGCTTGTGGGGATGCCATTCTATGACACCCTGTTCCTCCTTTGGCCCCTCCAGCATGCGTACCAGACTGCCATGGCCGCGCTCCCAGATGTATAGCTCGTGGTTATTAAACGTCGATGCTGCAACATACTCTCCGGTCGAACTGAATGCAGCATGGTTCCATGATAAGCGGTTGACCAAGTCCTGGAACTTGTGCTCGAGCGGGATTTGGATCGTGTCGGGGTCCAGGTCTGCCGATGTCAGGTCTGGCACTTTGAATGTCCTGATTGTCCGATCTTGTGCATTAACCAGCAGCTCTTTGCCAGAGTCTGTAAGTCGTAATGTGGTTATTACACCGCCGGCAATCTTTTCCGAGTAGATGATCTCATGTGTCGTCGCATCGATGATGTTGAGTCGGCCTTTGGTCGTGCCGGCGAGGAGATGTTCGCCTGTCGCCGTGTATACGATCGCTGTCGTCCTGTGGCTCGCATCTTGCTTGGCGTGCTCTTCTTTTGTCGCGGTGTCGGCACCGTCGTCGGATCGCTTCTCGACTGAAGGGAGGATATGTCGTACTTCGACGGGATCGGTAACATCGACGAGCATCGGCTGTTCTTCGAATAACGCGGCGACAAACTGGTGGCTGTAGTGATGATGAGTGTCAGCTCCAGCACAGCAGACTAAACTAAGTACCCGGGGAAAGCAACATACTGATGCATTGGGTGTAGTTCGGCCCCATAAACAGGCGCGCGGAATCGCACCTCGCGATACTTGCTCCCATCTTGTAGATCCCAGAGGATTACCTTCCAGGCTTGGCAGGCAGACAGCAAGTATCGCCCACATCGTGACCAGCTTAGCGAGGTGATGTTCTTGAAGTGTCCTCGAAGCTTGCGCGCAACCCCCATGGTCTCAAGATCCCAAATCACCACAGTGCCATCAACCCTCCCTGAGGCGAGGAAGTCGCCCGTCCGGTTGAAGCGCACGCATGTAGAGTGACCGGATCGGATTGTGTTGGTGATGTGTTCGGGGTAATCTTGGAGGAGATAGTCTTCGGCAAGTAGGAGATTCATAGTCGTGTTGTCGAGGGATTTGAGGTACTTTTGTCGATCCTTGTTCCGTAGTCGTGCATACAGGACTGAGCCACGGTCGCGGAGAGAAAAGGTACGATGTTGGTGATGCTGAGGTCGAGGTGTTGGTTGTAGACGATTTCCAGTCGCGCTTTGTCTTTCGCGAACCTCCATCATTTTCACGGATTCGGGGTGCCCCCACCTGGAGCTCACCTGTCACCTGTGTGGGTTCCCGTTTCCAGGGGGCATGCACGGCCCAGCCCAGTGTGCGTCAGGGGGTCAGTCCCACCCCCGCCTGCCGGCGCAGCGAAGGACAGCGGTGGATCGGCCGGGATTTTAATGGGTGGACACAACCGTCAAGCGCTAAAATGACCGTCGACAGGGTCAAGAGTGTGGGGTATCAATCTTGTGAAGACTCAGATTCGGTTCATCGTGAGCGAGACATCTCACTTACACGATTTCTTATATCACTGGTAAGTTTCAATACACATTTCTCTTTTGTTTACCCTCGTTCCCGTCCCACTATCTTCTCATTCTCAACAACGAATTACCAAAGTCTTCCCCTAACTGACAAGACGTGCAATAGAACAGCATTGAATCATTAAACCCCAAAAATGGCGAACTCCAAGTTTGAGTACGTCAAGCAGTTCGAGCAACCTGACTCACTTCTTCCAAACACCTGGATAGTAGTAAGGCTCGATGGCCGTGGCTTCACAAAGTAATTATTCCAGCCCTTCCCAAAACCATCATTATCATCATCATCCAGCCACTAACAAACAAACCCCCCAGATTCTCCACCAAGTATGCTTTCGAGAAGCCCAACGACATGCGCGCCCTAGACCTGATGAACGCCGCCGCCCGCTCCGTCATGTCCGAGCTGCCCGACATCACCATCGCCTACGGCGTCTCAGACGAGTATAGCTTCGTCTTCCACAAATCATGCACGCTATTCGAGCGACGGGCGAGCAAACTGGTTTCGACCATCGTCTCAACCTTCACAGCCTACTACATCTACTTCTGGCCGATCTACTTCAAAGACTCAAAACCTTTGACTCCGCCGCTCCCAAGCTTCGACGGCAGGGCCGTCACCTACCCGTCCGTCCAGAACCTGCGCGACTACATGAGCTGGCGCCAGGTCGACTGCCACATCAACAACCTGTACAACACCACGTTCTGGGCCCTCATCAACAAGGGCGGCATGGACGGGACGACGGCCGAGCTGATGCTCAAAGGCACGTTTTCGGCGGACAAGAACGAGATTCTGTTTCAGAAGTTTGGGATTAACTATAACAACGAGCCCGAGATGTTCAAGAAGGGAAGTGTCATTTTTAGGGAGTACGAGATGGTGGAGCCAGAGACGACGAAAAATGGCGTGGAAAAAGAGGCGGAGAAGGCGAACACGGCCGTGCCGGAAGTCAAGTCGAAAAGTCAGCTGGAAAAGGAAAAGAAGGCGAGGACAAAGGCCAAGATCGTGGTGGAACATTTGGATATTATCAGGGATGAGTTTTGGGAGAGGAGGCCGTGGTTGTTGAGTGGGAAGCCGGGCAAGGTTCCTAAGGAACAAAAGCCTTGATCGGGGATGGGGATGGGGAGAGGGAGTGGATGAAGAACGGAAGGAATGAGTCATATGAGATATGATTACCCCATGATACGATACCTCCTCTGTATATTTGTTTCCAATTGAGCTTCGATGGTTTGGTGTGCTCTAAAAGGGACTGGCTTACTTTACTTCTATATAAGGGGTTCTTGGAGCACATGCTTTTTCCCATGGCGAGTCTTTGAAGTTTGACTTCCTTTTAACCGACCTTGTGGACGAGGAGCTGCACATTGCAGAAATGGATGTATGGGAAGATTGGCGTTAGAATCAAACCCGCCGGTATGCCTCTGGGAGGACAACTGAGCTTTTTTTTGTTGGGATTCACATCTTGAACTGTAGTCCGAAATACCTTTACATTTTCATGTTTCATTCTCACTTGCTTTTGAACACCGGAAATTTTCATATAGAATGCCAAAATAAAATGCGTTCGTTTCTCAATTTTGATTAAAAATAAAATTTCAATTTTATATATATATAAATTTCTTCCTTTCCAGTGTTGCTAGTGGTATGAAGGCCCCTGACCTGAAGCTAGATGCTCATTATGCGAACATGTCTGTCGAAGACAGATTGTACAAAAGCAATTAATGAAAGTAGAAGAGACGAAGAGTGAAGTTGGTGCCGAGCCGCGCACACTCTTAACATACTTTCTCACATTCTGTGGAAATCTTGCGCCGCGCCTTTTCTACTTGCGTGAGAGTTCGTCGTATTGTCACCGGTGTAGTAGACACTTCCACGGCCTGAAGCTTGGGAATGATTGCAAAGTGTTGATGACAATATTGCTTACTCCCGTCCTTACCTATCAACCTAGCTAGCTCCTCTCGCGAATCGGCCAGATCTGTCCTCCTAAATCCATCAGACAAATTACAAAGGACAGGGAAAGTCCTGGCCTGGTGCCTGGTGCCGCGTGTATTTTAGGTGGCGCATATGTCATTCATCCCTCTGATATATCACAACTCTGGCCGCAGACAAACTCAACTCAACTCACCAAGTCAAGTCAAGTAGCATCGCAGCCTCGTCGTGTACCAGAAGAGACTGTGGCGTGTGGTGTCTTTCTCTCAACAGGGGGTATCTTATTCCAACAACTCTTATTCCGACAAACTTTTCACCATTTCCTTGATCAATGCACCACATCCTCAACCCTTCGTCTCCTTCTTCTCCTTCTCCTGCGCCCTCCTCCTCTTCTCCTCCTTCTTCGCCCTCCTCTCCATCTTCCTCGCTTTCCTCTCCTCCTTCGTCTCCTTCGTCTCCTTCGTTTCGCCTCCGTCTTTCCTCCTCTTCTTCTCCTCCTCCTTCTCCTCCTTCCTTGCTGCCTTCTTCGCGGCCTTCTTCTCCTCCTTCTTTTTCATCTTCTCCATCGCCTTCCTCCTCTTCTTTTCCTCCTTCTCCCTCCTCTTCTCTTCCTTCCTCCTGCTCACGCCCCCCTTCAAACCCGCAACATCCTCCCTATCAGTAGGCGTACTCCTCCCACTCTGTTCACTGTCATCAGAAACAGTCCCAGCAAGTCCCTCCCCCCTAACAAAACTCGCATAAAGCCCCCCCGCACCCGTATATTTCCCGCCACCAATATTCGCCGTAACCGCATCCAGCTTCGATTGCGTAGTGGTCTGCGTCATCTGCCCCGTTTTGGAGGTATCCAGCCCTTTAAGCTTCTCGTCAAAGGCCGCTAGCCACCATTGGTCTGACGTGTAGTGCGTCGAACCGCCTATCCCCCGCCCGTCGGTGTTGCGGGAGATGCGCAAGGGGTTGGACAGGCCGATGGCGTTGTCGGTTGGGTGAAGGGTGTGGCCTTTGCCGCGCCAGCCTTGGGATTTTAGCAGGCGTTCGCCGTATTTGGTCATGGTTTTTGGATGTTGGGGGATGTGGGTTTGCTGGGTTGTTTGAGGTTTAGTTTGATTTGCGACCGAAGGTTTTCTTTTGGTCGGCTGCGCCGGGGAAGTTCGCGATTGATTGACGGATGGAAAGTGTCGCGAATTGGTTTTTGTTACGATTGGGTTCGAGTGATCGTTCTTCAGAAAACTGTCGGTCGGTTGGTCGGCAGTTTGGTCGGTCGCGTAGATGGGCGCAGAAGTTATCGGAAAACCGAGGACGAGAGGAACAACTCCAATTGATTATATACAGAGCGGAGGCCGAAGGAATGATGTGGTAGGGAAGGATGCGCCGAGAGGAATTGAAGGTTTTCTGTCCTTCTTGTTGGGTGTCGGTTCGCGATCGCCAAAATCGAGAGTTCCTCAAAAGAAAGTTTGGCGGTGGGGTCGGACTGTTTTGTGCAGGGATGGGGATGGAGCTTAGATAAGCCTCTATGAAGCCATGTGATTGGTACTGATAAGACTGATACTTGGGTACTTCGAGGAAGTCTGGGCAATTCGGACCATCGAGGTTCTCCTTTTTGCTTGGTATTTGTTTTATTTTGGGGAAGGTAAACATGAGTACAATATCTGGAGATAACTTAACGATCATCAATGCAGTTTAAACAAGTTTACACAACGAAATGTGAGACAATGCCTCTAATGCATTTGTACCATCTATATACCGTTTGTTTCTACAGATGACCCTAGACGAGCAAAGTGACTATCCAGCTCCTGGCTTGCTATTCCTTCGTACTATAACCAAATCCCATGTCTCTTCAGGAGATGTTTCTTTCCTTACTGTTAAGCTTCCGTCATCTTTCCACCTAGAGCTCATCTCCACTAAACTCATCCGCAAACACCTCCTTAACCAGATTCTTCTTGTTAATCTTCCCCATCGCGTTCCTCGGGATCTTATCCACAATCTTCAGCACCTGGGGGATCTTGTACGCCGCCAACCGATCCTTCAACGCCCTCCTCATCTCCAGCGGGCTCCACTTGCCCTCCGGCACATGCTCCCTATCCAGAATCACCACCGCGCCAACCTTCTGTCCCCACTTGCCACTAGGCACCGCCAGCACCGCGCACTCGGCCACCTGCGGCAGGCTGAGCATCTCCCTCTCCACCTCGAGCGCTGACACCTTCTCGCCGCCGCTCTTGATAATGTCCGCGCTCTTCCGCCCCAGGATGAAGTACATGTCCCCCCGCGCCCAATCCTTCTGGCTCTCGCGGTCGCTCTTGCCCGCGCCCTCGGGCGCCGGTCGCCTGACGGCTACGTCACCCGTCTTGAACCACCGGCCCTTGCTGCCCGCCACGTCCTTCTCGTCCGTGACGAACTCCTTGGCTGTCGCTTCGGGGTTGCGCCAGTACTCCCTGAAGATGCTGGGTCCGCGCAACTGGATCTCGCCCGCGCGCTCGCGGCCCGTCTCGGGGTCCCATTCCTGACCGGGTTCGATGATGGTGTTGTTCTCGATATCTACCAGGCGGGCTTCCACACCCGGGAGAGGCCAGCCGACGGAGCCGTCGACGCGGTCGGCGGTTTCGAGGCCGCAAGAGAGGGCCATGCCTACTTCCGTCATGCCGTAGCGCTCGAGGAGGACGTTGCCGGAAGAAAGGTCGTGCCAGGCCTTCTTGATCGGGGTCGGGAGGGCGGCGGAGCCGGAGATTGCGAGGCGGAGGTTGGAGGGGGCGATAGCTTCGCGGGTGGCCGCTTGGAAGTCGTCGGGCAGGTGCTTGTGGGTCGTTAGGAGGCGGGAGTAGACAGTCGGGACGACGGTGAAGAAGGTGACCTTCTCCTTATCGGAGGTGTCGGGGAGGAAAGGGGCGGCGAAACGCTTCCAGACGGCGTCGGGGGTTGAAGGGGGAACATGAACTCGATGGAGCTGCCGGCGAAGAGAGGGGTGAAAATGGCGTTGATGGTGCCGTGGATGTGGTGCAATGGGAGCACGTGGAGGAGGTGGTCG